TCCTCACCAGTTGGGAGCAGTAGTGAGCATGTCAAATGTTTTTATCCCTGCAATAAATTCTAGCACCCATGAGCGCAGCGTTTTGTTTCCACAGTGGCACGCGCCCTACATAGCTGGGTCCGTTTATCAAGTCTAAGCGCAAAAGAGAAAAGCAGCTGGACTCACGGGTTCTAGCCTTTATCCAAAGCGTCGACCATCAGAGAGGGAGGGTTCTCAAGATCACAGGATTCAAAAATTTAACGTGCAAACTACGAGTTACTTTGTCTGACCGAGGTGGATTTGATGTTTGTTTGGTGCATGTTTTGACGTAATGTTGGTAAGTGATGGGAAATAAAATCTGGAGGCTGTACATTGTGTTTTATTTTGAAATGGACCAGTTGCTCTATATGCGTTCCATGGTCTCACTTCCTGTTACGGTCGATCTGCTCTGTTAAGCTTGAACAGAGCTTGAACTTGCGGCAGCTGTGGCTCAGTTGGTCGTTGCCTCTCAACCGGAAGGTCGAGGGTTCGATCCCCAGCAACATGTCCGATGTCCTTGGGCAAGACACTTAACCCCGCATTGCTCCGGTGTGGCGGTGTATGAATAGATTAGTGTTGTACTTACTCTCTGATGTACGTCGCTTTGGATAAAAGCGTCTGCTAAGTGAATTGTAGCAGCTTGATGCATACTTGCAGCAAGTGCCATCGAAAAATAGACACAAATATGTGTAGAGCTGCAGAGCTGAATGGAGTGGTGCTGCTGGCATTCGCTGGAGCAGACCTCAGGGGCTCGCTGTGGAAACTCAAGCACATCAACTAAAGAGGGCGCGGCCAGCTGTGGAGTGTGCGGCACGGATGGAAGGCAGCACACAGAAATCCTTTGGAATCTGTCAGTAAGTCAAGCGGCAACCTCTGGTGTTGTAATGAAGTCGATGTTAGAGTTAAAAAACCTGCAGTTCCTCCAGTGTCCACTAGAGTCTGTCTCCTGCAGTGAGTCAGTCCCCTGCAGTGAGTCAGTCCCCATAGAGCCTCATGTTGAAATGTCCAACTTTACAGCTGCAGTTCCTCCAGTGTCCACTAGAGTCTGTCTCCTGCAGTGAGTCAGTCCCATAGAGCTCCATGTTAAAATAAACATGTTTACAGTCTGGTACAAAAACAGTTTGGGTCTCTAGAGCTCATTTCTCTCTTCACGCTCTTCATTAATTAAACAGTTTTAAATCTTATCTCCTTGTCGGAGCTTCTTAAATTTATACTCTGATCTTCCTTCTTCAGGAACAGATTTTACTGCAAAGTTTTTAATCTTCAGTAAAACAGTTCACAAGCTAATTTACATCATGATCTTCCTGTTTGAAAGGACTGAAGTCAACAATGAGTCAGTGAATCACCTTCCCTGACTCTGCATGTGTGTGTGTGTGTGTGTTGTTATGAAGTGATAATTCACTCTGCAATCTGATTAAACGTTACAGTCACAGAGGAGCACAATGAGACACTCTCAGTTTCACAGCCGCACTAAATTTGTCTTCAACACATATCATGATCTGACACAAAACACACACACACACACACACACACACACACACACACACACACACACACACACACACACACACACACACACACACACACACACACACACACACACACACACACACACACACACACACACACACACACACACACACACACACACACACGACTTAATTTCACACCATTGACAAGCCATTACGATATCAAACTGCCGTCAAACACGGAGGAATGTGCTGGAGGTCCACAGAGGAGGAGTTTGATTTTAGACCCAATTACTTTGGAGGTACTTGTTTGTTTGTGTGTGTGTGTGTGTGTGTGTGTGTGTGTGTGTGTGTGTGTGTGTGTGTGTGTGTTGGAGGGTGGGATGGAGTTTAAGTAGATTTGCTCTTCCTCTCTGGGACAAAGGCTCCTCTGTGTGTCACAGCTTAGACTAACCTGATGACAATCTGCACTGATGTTTCTCCCACACTCTCTGACTTGTCTTAATTTAAAAATCTGTGAAGATCATCCTGTTTAAGTGACTGTAACCCAAAACTACAAAACCTAAAGATGTCAGTCTTTGTGTGTGTGTGTGTGTGTGTGTGTGCGTGTGTGTGGGGGGGGGGGGGTATTTTGCATGTAACCCTTCTCTGTTCTCACCTCTTTGCCTGTCCTCCATATCAAAGGAGCTGCAGTCACACCTCCATCTGAAGGAGCTCACACCTCACATACAGCAGGTCATAAAACACACACACACACACCTATTTAACACAAGCAGGCACACGCACACACACACACACACACACACACACACACAGGTTGAGCATGGGAAAGACACACAAACACAAAGACACTGCCATTGGTCTGCAAACACACAACAGTCAGGTTGTGTTGAAGAGAAAGAAGATATTCACAAAAAGAAGTGATTCTGCTGACCTCTGACCTGATGGAGGTCACTGAGTCAGGTATCACAAACTGAACGTCTCTGCTCTGTGGCGTGCTCTTATCACACCTGCACAAATCTCCTGGAAACAGCTGCATGTTTGAAAACAGACACCAGAATTTTTTATCCTGATTTTTTTCCTGTCAGTCCCCTATTAAAAAGGAGATATTCAGGGAAATTCCCCAGCAGTGCCTGGACTGTTCACCAGTCAATCACAGGACTGACATACAGAGACAGACAACCAGTCACACTCACATTCACAACTACAGACAATTTAGAGTCAGCAGTTAACCTAACGAGCATGTCTTTGGACTGTGGGAGGAAGCTGAGTACCCGGAGAGAACCCACACATGCACAAGAGAACATGCAAACTCCACACAGAGAGGCTCCTGTCAGACGGGGATTCAAACCAGGAACCTCCTCACTGTGAGGCCACAGCACTAACCACTGTACCACCCTGGAGCCCTGATTTTAAAACATAAGAAGACCAACAAAAATATTATTGTATCAAAAGTGACTGTTACATGGGACGCCGGTAGCCCAGGGGTTAGTGTGGGCGCCTCCTTGTACAGAGACTCAAAGCGGGCGGCCCAGGTTCGAATCCGACCTGCAGCTCTGCCTCTCCAACGTCTCTGACTCTATCCACTGAACTATCTCTGAAATAAAGCCGTTGTACACTCTAACACGTCTCCTCCCCGCTCAGCATGTCGTCGAGTTTGTTTTTAGAAACATCACAGAAAGCTTTTAAAAAACGAGGACATGTTTCTATATTTGAAGATTTCTTCTTTTTTTTTTTCATCATCTAGTGAGACTCGGCGGCTCTTTGGTTCTTCAGATGTTTTTCATTCCATGTGAGGAATTCAAGTTTCCAGGCCAGCTCACTCATTGAAACAAAATCATCAGTTTACTGTGTCATAGCTGTGTGTGTGTGTGTGTGCGTGCGTGCGTGTTTGTGTGTGTGTGTGTGTGTGTGTGTTCTGCGTTCCTTCTGAGCGTTCGACACGTGTTTAAATAAAAGAAGGAATTCAGTAAAAGTTTCACGATGGATTTGGAGGTTTGGAGTGAAGTGAGACAGCAGAGACAAACACTAACGCCCGTATGACAAGTTTACGGTAAGTTACACACACTCTGCCCCCACCCCCCCCACACACACACACACCACACACACACACACACACCACACACACGCACTCGCAAAAGGAGGACACCCACTCTGTAATTATACCTATTGTGTTCTCTTCCTGCTGAGGAGAAAAACTCTCCATCATATCTGATTTCTCGCAGCTTATCTGACCCCGTCTGCCCTCATGTACACACACACACACACACACACACACACACACACACACACACACACACACACACACACACACACACACACACACACACACACACACACACACACACACACACACACACACACACACACACACACACACACACACACACACACACACGTTTTTTCATGCTGTGGATATAAAAAAGTATTAAAGTTTTTATTTTAGATCTATCGATGTGTAAGAATGCAAACACGGATCTCCAGTTGATGCTCTCAGAAGGTCAAAGTGACGACCTTGCCCGTTGCTTGTTTAGCTGGTTAGCTGTGTGTGTGTTTCAGGTGCCAGTGGGTGTGGAGTCGAGCACCTGGGCCGCGTGTTCTCCTAACCAATGAGTGAACACCCTGCTTCCTGGTTGGCGAGGGGCTGCTCCCCAATGCTCTTCATTGATTTTTTTACTGTGTTTTTGAGAGTAACTCCTCATCTCCTCCACTCATATGTCGCTGGTTTTGAGCTGGCCGTGACTTTATTTTGAAGGGTTAAATGTGTTTCCAGCTCCATCAGATCTGTAAGCGTGCTCCACCTTCGATGGAAACATTTCTTCACGGTGAACAGCACTTTATTTAGAGTGCTGGTGTGAATCTAAACTTGTGAACAGCTCGGCGCTGAGGATCTGTTTTCTGTCTCGGGTTGTTAGAGATCATATCAGTGAGCACAGACACAATAAAGCTTCTCCTGCAGGAAAACACAGCGAGGGGCGGCTGAGGGGACGAGAGGGGGGGCGGGGCTGTGATTGTGCTCAGAGGGGGATAACACTGTCATTAGTGCATGTATGTGTGTTTGTATGTGTGTGTGTTGACTTAGACTTCCTAAGAAAAAAGCCTCGACACACACACACACTCGTCATTCCAGGAACGCTCCCCGACTCTTCGCATGAAATGATGTCATCGCCCCCCGTGTATTTCAGTACATACTCATTATGACTGCTGTCTCTGGTATGTTTGTTTCTCTGACTGCAGTTCTGTTCACAAACAGGAACATCGTTTACATGTTCCTCTCTCACACTTATGATTACTACACATTACAAACATCACACCGGCTGGAGTCTGAACCTTGAGATGATTGTAAAGCAGCTGCGTTCATTCGTCCTTCCTGACTGTCTGAAAGCAGTATTGTATCATATTTTAAAGCTTTCACACTTGCAGAAAACTCCTGAAAATCTCTTGACGAAGGAACTGTGTGAATGCTAACAGGAGTGGAATAGTATGTGTGTGTGTGTGTGTGTGTGTGTGTACCTGTATGAAACAGAGTTGCTGGTATGTTACAGATGAAGTCAGAGGCTGAATCTCGAACCTCCTGATCTTCATCCTGCAGCAGCTTAAACACACTCCTCCACAGAGACACTGAGGTGGACAGACCTGAAACACACACACACACACACACACACACACACACACACACACACACACACACACACACACACACACACACACACACACACACACACACACACACACACACACACACACACACACACACACACACACACACACACACACACACACCACACACACACACACACACACACACACACACACACACACACACACACACACACACACACACACACACACAGGTTTTAACACCTCTGAACTCTGTTGACTTAATCTCTGATGATGTTCAGCGACTCACCCAGGGGCAGGTGGGGGCTGATCAGCACTGATGATGCACAGGTGACCAACACCTTTGCCGCCGTCAGCTTCACCTCCTCTGGCTGCTCCTCGCTGCAGCACGAGCACACCAACGCCCCCCACTGAGCCAAACAAGACACTGCACCCGCTCCCTGGTAAACATCAAATACAGCAATGTAAAGATTTGTGGAAGCTTTAGGGGAAATATTCTACAGCTCGCTCACTCGTCCATTCAGGATTTCCCACACGTCTTTATTTTTGTTTGATCTATACATCGAGTCTGTATCCATTTTCAATCTGTGCAGAAATTTATTTTTTCTTTACAGAATACACAACACAGAAAACAATGCTCGAGGGCGATTATGAAATGGTATCAACGTGCAGATTGTCCAGCAGAGGGCGCTTTGACTTTGATTTGGGATATTTTTGTGTTTTTTTAAAGGTCACATATGACGTAAAATCCACTTCTCCATGTTCCTCTAACTCGAATATGTGTCCCTAGTCTGTCGACAAACCCCCCAATGATGAGAAAAGTCCATCCTCTCTGTCTTTTGCCTGCTCCACTCTTCAGAAAATGTGTGCTCAAACAGGCTGTTTGGAGATTTTCCCTTCATGACATCACAAAGAGCAGTAACCCCTCCCCCAGGTGGGTGACACTCCCACAGCTAGGTGTTTGTTCTGCCCTCTGAGTCTTCCTTCTCACTGTAAACAATAGGACATGGAGCGAGAAAGCCAGAGACACCCAAGTCCTTCCAGAGAGGGGGGGTGGTCAGACACCGCTCATTTACATTTAAAGGTACAGACACAGAAACAGCCTGTTCTGAACAGGGCTGAAATAGAGGGGTTTATAGGCATGATCAAATACAGGACCAGAGTGGATTTAGAACAAGAAACTTCATAGACATGTTTTGAGGAGCTCTGAGACTTATTTAAAGTTGTTGAAGAGGAGGAGAATATGTGACCTTTAATGAAGCAGATGTCATGAAAACAGTTAACCGGTTTCTCTGCAGTGAGTTAAACAGTTTGAGCTGATACTGATAAAAATCTTCATATTTATGGGTAGTTAATTCTCGTTGCTATGTTAAGACAGTATGAGAACACAGAGTGAGTGTTTACCTGGGGGTCTGAGCTCACCAGGTGAACCACCAGCTGGGAGAGCAGGGTGAGAGCGGCACAGTGGAGCTCCACACTGAAACACAAACAAACACACTAATCAGAAAAATCAAAAATGTTTGATTATTTTAAAAACTGTCCTGGAGGAAGTATCTCCTCTGCTGCTGTATTTTAGCTTTCTGCTCCGGTATTCTCATAGAAAGTTTTTTTTTTTAATCAGGAACAAAAAGCTGAATCCATCTTTTATTCTTAAACATTTATTAGGGCTTTCTGAATTTGTCTTCTGGGACCAGAAGAGTTGTGTATTTATGATGTTCAATTTGATCTTGGAGTTTGGAAATTCTGAGTTATCAGGTCTGAGGCGTCATCAGGAACGGCCCCCCCTGAAGTTGGGATTCTGATATGGAAACTTGTAGAACCTTCATTAGCCTGAGTTAAAATCCAACATGGCTGCTCTGTGCATCAACAGTAACGTTTAATCTTTAACTGTTGTGTTTATTAGCAGTTTCGTCCTCTTTTAGTGTAATTAAATCAATCCCACCAATAGTATTGTGAAAGTTCTTTCTGCTTGTCCGGCTTGTTGCTAACTCCAGTTGCAACTGGAACGCGGTTAACTCGGGAGTGACGTCATTCCCAGCTCCGAGCTCTGGGGTAAATGGAAACGCACCAGAAATATATGATGGACATTGGGATGCTTTTGTCGCACTCTTGAACTCTCACCTCTTAAAAAGGGTGCACTGAGGGTCATTAATGAAAATATCACACACACACACACACACACACACACACACACACACACACACACACACACACACACACACACACACACACACACACACACACACACACACACACACACACACACACACACACACACACACACACACACACACACACACACACACACACAGCTGTATTAAGTTACAGACTTACAGCAGACAAAAGAAGTGTGCTGCTCCTCACCACTACAGTACGGCTCACAACAGGTCCAGCGGTATTCAGTCACACAAAGCACACACAACTCGCTCTGAGGGGAAAGCAGATCTCTGTGGTTTTTAAACTCCTGAGAGTCTTTGTAATTCCATCCTAATTCAAAAGTTTTCTGTTCGCAGGGTAAAAAAAAGTACAACACGGTGTGTGTGTGTGTGTGTGTGTGTGTGTGTGTGTGTGTGTGTGTGTGTGTGTGTGTGTGTGTGTGTGTGTGTGTGTGTGTCACTGAATGTCACAGGGATTAGAACACACACACACATACTGGAGAAGTATTTGCAGTGAGAGAGGATTCAAAGTGAAATCCTGAAAGGCTGGAATAATCAAAAATGCTGACTCTGATAAATATCAGCTCGCTTCTTTCAGTGTTAACCCTTTGCATCCCGTGTGACCACAGTGGTGATTTTGTTCAAATCAAGTCAGCTTCATTTCATTTCATTTCAAACCTTTATTTATTCTCGAAAAGACACTGAGGTTTCCCTCATTTCCGATGCCATCGAGATTACAAGCACAGTAAAACAAGCAAAAAAACATCAAACACACAGAATCTGTGACAAAAACCACTGAGATCATTTAAAACATTTACAATTTGAAACAAAGTTGTTCGAAATCAAATTCTTAAACTCTGGAAGAGAGGGAAGAACTCTTCCAGATCTCAGACCAGAAGATCTTTAGAGTTTGCTGGAGGGCGTTCCACGAATTTGGGGCATCAAAAGAAAATGCAGATTTACAGAGTTCAGTAAAAGCTTGAGGGACTTTAAGAACGAGCCAATCAGAAAAACGGGTCATGTAGGCACTCCATATTCCACTCCAACAGGTCTGTGACGTAAGAGCCTTAAAGGTATATGAAAACCAATGTTTATTGTTCAAGAGAAGGCCGCCGACCCTCTCATACAGCTCACAGTGATGAGTGTCAAATCGATCACTAGTTATAAACCTGAGGGCGGAGTGATAGGCGGCGTGCAGAGGCTTTACAGTTGAAGAACACAGCTTCAATGATTCGTTTTCTGCACGATAACGGAAAACTTGATTTGTTTCTGTACAAAAAGCCAAGAGTTTTTACATGGAACTTAAAAGTGAGTTCCTCATCGAGCCACATGCCAAGATATTTATACTCATATACTCTCTCAGTGTCTGAGCCATTTAAGGAAGATATGTGTACACTCTCGTAATCAATATTTTTGGCTCTCGAGAATAGCATAAATTTTGTTTTAATCTCATTAAGTAGCAGTTTTTGGCTAATGAGATATTCTTGGACAGAATTAAAAGCAAGTTGCAAGTTCTTGATGGCCAACTGTACAGAATCTGCAGTACAATACAAAATATTGTCGTCTGCATAGAGATGGGCATGACCAACATTCAAAGAACAAACAATGTCATTAACATAAACAGCTTGAAGTGATGTGAGTCATTGATGAATATGTTGAAATTGAAAATTAAAAGAATCTGACGAGTATTTTGCAAAATAAACACACAAACCATTTTCATGCCAGACCAGAGTCCTGCACGGGTCCAATTTTACAGACTCACATCCGCCGGCACCCATAAAGATCAGTATCGAAACCTGACCCCATGTCAAATCCAGACCCACTAGGACCCATAAATATCAGACCTGCAACACGGCCCGGCCCGATCTGGGTTTTGACACAACGGCTACACAGTCTCTCACTTTGTGATGCTAATTTCTTTTTTGGCCATTTTTTACTCTACCGCAGCGCTCTCTCTCTCTCTCTCTCTCTCTCACTCTCTCTCTCTCTCTCTCTCTCTCTCTCTCTCTCACTTCACTCTCTCTCACTCTCTCTCTTTCCTTCTTAATGAATGAATGGCATGCTACTGTTATAGAGGTTTAAAATACTGCAAATCATTTTCATTATAGTTTTCTTTTTGAGCTTGTTTTGTGTATTGTTCTCACCTGCCACCTGCATGCGCTCTATTTATTTTTTCTATTCATATTTCTTTACCCGTTACAATAGCCTACCTTTTTCCGGGTCACAATCACAAAACTTAATGACATCATCAACATTTTGTGATGCAAAAAGAGTGAAGTTTCTGGAAAGTTTAAAAAAAAAATCCATTTAAACACAACCAGGAAAAATGTTTCAAAGGGTTAAAAACCTGAATAACGCCCCCATACAGAGGAGGGCGGATACACTCCAGCTCCCCCTCCATGGACTCTGAATGAATCTCTGACAGGCAGCCTGCAGCCGGGGGATGTGTGTGTGTGTGTGTGTGTGTGTGTGTGTGTGTGTGTGTGTGTGTGTGTGTGTGTGTACTGACAGGAAGTGATCAGGAGGGAGGAAACCCTCTGTGAGAGGAAGAGCTGTTTCAGGTGAAAGGTGTGATGGATCAACGAGATCAGAGGACATGTGAGCTGATGCTCTTTGATGATTGAATGTCTTTCTCAGTCCCTGTGACATTTGTTTACTCATTAAAGCTCACTTATACAGTGATTCAAATTCTAAACCTGCAGAATTATTATAAACACAAACTAAAAGATAGTCGTCTTATAATAAATAAAACAATAACTAAAACTGGAAAGAATCACAGGCCATGTTTACATTTGCATGACTTTAGGATCAACATGTGTGTGTGTGTGTGTGTGTGAGTGTGTGAGTGTGTGAGTGTGTGTCGTCTCTGACCTGTGAGCAGACCTCTGCGTCAGAGTGAGGAGGTGCAGCAGGACCGCCTCCTGAGACACAATCTGAGCTCCATCCCTCCACATCAGTTCACCGCTAGAGCTCAACACACACAGCACGCTGAGAGCCTGAGGAGAGGACAGGAGATATTAATGTATGTACACACACACACACACACACACACACACACACACACACACACACACACACACACACACACACACACACACTGAGGCCATCCATCATCACAGCTCTGGTGTCCTCTCTGCAGTCGGCTGTCCGGAGCTTATTTTAACCACACGGGTCAGATCCTCCCTTCACACACCCAAACCACGGGTACACAGCTGCCTCCCTCTCTCTCTTTCCAACACACACACACTAACATGCCAAAACACTACCATTAACACAAACACACACACACACACACGCATGTTTAGAGATCTGCATGCATTTCTGAGTACGTTAACTGACTATTTGTACAGAAATTATTTATTTTGTAAAACTAATAAGAAAATCTAAGAATTTGAGGACATAAAGGGTTAAAATGTATATATTTTTTAAATGCTGGTCATAAAAATAAATTCAAATCAAGATAAATGTGACCCTCTGCTGAAGCACATTTAAGGAGGTAGGGGTGTTCAGTTGCACAGCTGAAAACAGGACTGCTCTGAAGTTTACAGTCTAAAAACATCGAGGACCAAAAGTCTGTTTTAGACTGCATTCCCAATGTGGCGACTGTCATTGCTGGGCTTCAAAAGTCTGATTCAGAAACCAATGACATCCCTGACAGTACGTCCATTACCATGAAATGGGTGCATTATTACTACATGGCACAATAATAACACGAACATGGAAACACAGCCACAGACATACAGTGACATATTCTAGTTTTGTCTGTTTTTCCTTCCTTCACTGTAATATCGTCCTCCTCTCTCTTCACAGCATCCTTTATCTTCACCGTAACCTTCTCCTCACTCTCTCTCCCCCGTGCTGTTTGCGAGTCAAAGGAGGGAAAGCCCCCCCTAAAAAAAAAAAACACATGGAGCAGAGAACACATATTGACATTCCTGCTGCATTTCTCTCTGATTATTATTTCTCTGAGCAGCAGGCGTGTTATTGGAGCTTTAAAATAAAGTCTGTTTTATAGGATCTGTGTGAGCGAGCGCAAAGCGGGGCGAGCGGGAGCATGTAAGGCCTCTGTGAGTAAACGTTCGTGTGTGTGTGTGTGTGTGTTTAAGTGTATATAAATGTGTATATTTGTGCATGTGAGCAGTGAAAGTTTTGTTTTAAATAGGAAACCACTGAAAGTAAAAGGACTCATAAGATGATGACAAAGCTTTAACTCAATAGTCCGGGGTTGATGTTTTAGGGTTAACCTTTAGTTCAAAGTGGAAGTATTCATAAGTGTGTTTCTTCTTATATTTCTTTAAATCGACACATGGAGCGAGTATGAGGAGCAGTGTGGTGTGTTCACTGACCTCAGAGAATAGGAATTATCTTGATGATTTACCACCTGTCAAAGTTAGCCATGGTGCTTTCACACATGGACCAAACTTCTGAACGCCAACAGCAGAGTTCTTAACCCTGACTTTGCTCTGGCTGTTTCCTGTCAGATCCTACCGGTTAATTTTCTGTGAAGTCGAAGTGATTCGATAACGCAGCAGGAAATATTCAGGAACATTCACAGGAAGCGAGCAGGCGGTCGTGATGAAGATTACATCCTGCGACTTGCACGGGATCGTTGCGATCTCCGTGCATGTAAAGAAACTCCTACACTGTTTAATGGCTCGTTTGTGCCTCATCACCATTTTGATGATTCCCTAGATTTGTCCAAATGCACAAAGTATTCATATGAAAACCAGGAAAAAATCTGTCATCATGGCGCTGGACTCTGTTGCTTGATCTGCGTCGTTCTTTTTACATCCTGTCTCGACTCCGGAGAGCCGTAGTGTGGCGCTAACATATTAGCTCAAGAGCTTCAGCCTTTTCTTAGATATCCTGACTTTAAAACAAAGCTAACACACATAGTAAATGTTCATGATTTATTATGTTGGAAACAAGTCGTTTGGAAAAGCTCAAGTAGTGCAAGCAAACTTTCACACTCCGGACAAACTGTGTGATTTTCATACGATCATTTATTTTCAGCTCAAACGATAGCGACTCAATCATTCAGACGCCAGACTATATCACAGAATGAAAGAGAAATCTTTGGCTGATCCTGGGTTGTCTGTGTGTGTGTGTCTGAATTTCTGTGTGTGTGTGTGTGTGTGTGTGTGTGTGTGTGTGTGTGTGTGTGTGTATGTGTGTGTGTGTGTGTGTGTGTGTGTGCAGGTTCTCAGCTGGTCTGAGCGTCCGTTTCTTTTACGGCCTGCAGCACGCTCGGCTGACCTCGTACTCAAATATACAGAGTCACAGGAAAACATGCAGAGTCAGGCACAGACTCTCAGAGCGGTAACATGCAAATAAACAAAGACGCCCACCCTGCATGAACACACATAAACCAAACATGAACCAATAAGACGCAGGGTGTCTACCCCTGACTCTATACACAGCAGGGTGAAGGTGCTCCAGCTTCTCTAGTCTCTACTAGCATTGAAAAGAAAACCTGCCTGATGAAGCTTCATGCATTACTTTTATTTAAACTTTAAAAGAAAATTAATGAATCCAAACACAGAAGTTCTTACTGAGTGAAGGCTGACATTGTTCCATGTGCAGAGAAATCATCTTCTCATGGTTTCACAGACTGAGCAGTCCTCTTTTATTTGGGGACTACATCGGGGTGGAGATGATTTGGATTGAAGGGGGGGGTTATGGAGCAAATATTGTGGAAAAACGATTTGCAAATGTGTAAACAAAGCCGTACACAGATACACAAATGCATCAAAAAATACCCTGCATAAGGTGTTTCCGGCCTCCTGACTTCCAAGACTTTGTTTTCAACCAATGGTTATATTCTAAACTCCAACGAGCAACTTGTGATATCAGAGTGGAGTTTGAGAAAACAAAAGCTCACCACCTCCAAGATGGCTGCTGCTGTGTTTCTCTGAACTCGTGGCTGGTTATCAATCCAAGAAAAATCTGAGGAATCCTTCCTAGACTTGAGATATTTGATCTTAAACTGGATTAGGAAGATTTAAACTCCCTATCATCAGAGAAATTGTGGATTTGATTTGATTATCCTGTGTAGGTTTTCTTCTCTACTCTGCTGAACTTTTGATTACCTAACCTCTAACAACTGAGGAATATGTCAGCGTGGCCCAAGTGCCTGAATTGTTGGACCAGCAAAAAGATTTCTACAGAACTTTGCTTGATCAGGAAAAAACATGTTCAGATCATCGTTGACTCTATGACAATGTTTCTGAGCAGATTCTAAGGTCACTCTGATGCAGACAGGTTGGAATGATTTATGCATCTTCATGTAGTTGTTGCGGTGTTTCACAGTGCACATGATCCTGCTGCAGCATGAATCTGTCCCTACAGACATGCAAACCTGAGGCCACTGACTGTTAATAAAGATGGACAAGAGGTGCTACTTCTCCTCGCTCAGGTTAGACTCGAGGGTAGTCAGAAATCCCCACCATGCTTCACTGCAGGTTTGATACACTGCGGTCTAATCCTCTCACCGGTTTGCCTCCTTATGTTCTCTCTTTAGCTGCTGCCAACATTCTCAGACTTGGAAAGTGTTTTTTTCCAGCCTTCTTCAGTGGAGCTCTGGATATTTGCTGCACCCAGTTTAGAAACTCCCATCTTAGCTCCTCTTTTCTCAACTTCATGTTGTTTGCTTTACACAGTAAATCTGTGTCTGCAGAGATGTTGCTTTTCTGTCTACCTGAGCTGGAGGTATTTATCTTCTGATGGGCACGTTCAGTCTGCCTGATCAGGGTTGGGTTTCTGCAAAGCGTCACGCATGACTCCCTGTGAAGTCTTTTAGTCTGACCCGACGGGGTGCAGTGGAAGCTCCTCTTTGTAAAGAGTTTAAATTAAGACAACATCACTTGCTTCTGACATTGTGATATGCGATGTGCATCAGAACATTTCCTGATTTTAAAGTTTCTAACTCCTCAAACGTTCAGATTACTTCCCCTGTTTCACTAAATGACAGTTTGCTTCAGGTTGGGCAGAAAATGAGACCAACACTTTGTCCTTGGCCTCCTGCTGCCTCCTCTCCTCTCCCAGAATGCTTCACTGCAGTAAGGGCGAGCTGTGGCACCTGGCCCGTTGGGTTGGCGTGTCCTTGGCTGTGGGGAGGCTCCACTTAACGGGCTGACACTTTAAACATTAACAGGCGGGCCTGTAAAGCAGCGCCTGGCGAGGAATGCTCCACCAAACGCACACATGCAAAAACGCTAAAACACACACACATAAAACACACACACACACGCAGCGCTGAGTCATGTCAGCTCTGGAGGAGAGTTAGCGACAGGATCAACAGAGCGGGACTCAAACTCACTGAAATAAGAGCTTCTGTCTCCAAACAGGAAAGAGCGCTTTCCCTCCAACGCTTGTTAGAGTGGAAGCCGACCAAACGTCTCGAGTGTGTGTGTGTGTGTGTGTGTGTGTGTGTGAGTGTGAGTGTGAGTGTGAGTGTGAGTGTGAGTGTGTGTGTGTCTGTGTGAGTGTGAGTGTGTTTGGCATCTCCTTCTGCCGACCATTAGCCTCTCACGCAAACCTCTGTCTGATGGATTTCAATGTTTAATCGATTAGCAGCAAACGTCCCTGTGGCTCAGTGAGATGTACGGTGGATGACAAGGACAAAAGTACTGAAACGATTCAAACGATTTCTATGATCAGAAACAGGCTAAAAAAAAATTTAAACAGAGAAAATATTCCAAATCCAAAATCACTGCAAAATAGTTCAAATACAACAGAAACTTTCTTCAAATGAAATAATGACGCACACAAATCAAGAAAACGATTGCATCAGAGAAACGCTGCAGTTGTCATAAATGTAATAGTGCTCCAGGCATGTAGGGGGCGCAAAGTGGAACTACTTCATTCCATAGGAGATGACGAGATCACTTTGCAAAAAGAGGAAATATCAGGTGGATGAAATATATTTTAGCATTCTTGAGTCAACCCCCTCAAGAGGTCTTAAGCTCTTTTGTTGCGACGTCTGAGCGTGCAGCATTTTTCTGTTGACTTAGGTTTCTTCTTTTTGTGTTTTCACACTTGCACAAAACTCTTAAATACTATTCAGGGTGAGCTTATGTGAGACACAACAGGATATATTCAGGAAAATACACTGTGAGGAAGCATGAGGGGGGTGGTGACATTTACATCCAGACTATGGAAGGTCTGCACGCGTCTAGCGCAGTCTCTGTGCATGTAATGAAACGTCTTTATTATGTTCTCTGTTCTCCAGTTTGTTCTTTTCCATTCTTTTGTTGATACTGGAATGTGTTGAACACATAACATTGATAAAAAGGCAAAAATCTTTCATCATGACTCTGTTGCATCGTCCCTCACTTCCCCGTCATGCTTTTAATGTCACATACTGCCCCCCCACCCCCCACATTTTTGATCACATTTGTCCTCGTCAGCCACCATAGAGCTGGGATGAAGAGGGGTAGCACATTTTGGAAAGAGTTCCTCATTTAGTGTTGACAGGCTGAGAAATGACGCTGCAGTCACACACTTCCTCGTCTACAAAAACAAAACAAGCACACACACATACAGGTTCTCTCAACAAACACCTCTCATCATGTGTGTGTGTGTGTGTGTGTGTGTGTGTGTGTGTGTGTGTGGTCTCACCTTGGCCAGACACTGGGGGTGTTTCTCGTGCAGAGCCAGGCTGGTCAGGTTGGACCGGGTGGTCTCATCCAGCCACTGAGGCCTCTTCCTCTCCTCCTCCTCCTGGTCCTCCTGCAGCCTTCTCAGGACCTCCTGCAGGGTCTCCTCCCTCACCTCGTACTCTGGGCACAGCAGCAGACTCTGAAGGAGCCGGCTCGAGAGTTCAGGACCCCCCCACAGCTCAGGGGCCTCCAGGCTGGCACTGAGGGCCAGCCGGGCCAGGCTGAGCAGGTACTGGGTGCTGCCAGGCCCCCGTGGGGAGTCTGCAGTAATGAGCTCTGAGTCCATGAGGACCGCCAGAGCTCCTCGACGAAGCTCAGCGACCTCTGAGACTGAAACACAGAAAGCTTCAAGTCAGATCACAGAGCAGGAAGAGTTCTGATACGACAGCTTTAACATAAACGTTTATCAAATTTGATTAAACGGGGGGCAAGTGTGGGACTGTAAAGCAAACAAACCTTTGGTTAATGCTAATTTCATAAGGATTTAATGAGGTTTAAAAAAAAAAATCTTCTGTACGTCTGAGAGTGAGTACAACACAAGCAAGGATCTAGACAAGAGGGAAGGGAAAATCTGACGACTGATCAGATAAGAGTTGTGCATAATTAGGGTCTGAGTAGACTGTAAGGAGGGCACGTTGTACATTTGTTTTCAGGAGGTTAAAGGCCCGTCTCAGGTTTACCGCTGTGAGGTTTACTAGATTGATTGAAAGTTAGGTAGAGTGAGCTTTTTAATATTGTAACCGCCATCTTCGACCTGCCATACGCCTAATCAGAAACCAAAGGGTGACGCCAAAGGGTGACTGCCTCCATGTTTTATACACTTTTATGAATCGGACACAGGTGCTGCCTGTCAGGCAGTGCACAGGATTTATCAAATCTTTTTTCGATGACAAAGATAATATTTTTCAAACTACAAACAGCTGTGACATCCCTCGCTACAACGACACAAAACAAGAATTTAGTCAAATCTGATTTTAAAAAACCTGTTTTCCTGCTGCCACATACTGCAGGAGTCAGCTACAGTGATGCATGTGTGAATGAAAGGTGCTATATAAATACATCTGAGTTGAGTTGTGAATGAAGACATTACTGCGTCATGGAACAGAGAAGTGTGTAAAGCCTGCAGAGAGCTCAAACTACACTGTGTCTGACTGCAGCTAATGACCTCGTTCTGCTGAGGGCTGATAGAGTTTAAGATCATTTTGACTCTTTCATGAATTAATTCTACATTTCAAGAGCCAGCATCCGAGTTCAATCAAATATCACAGACGTTTCAGCTCGTTGGTCAAACTTTTGAACAAGCCAAACAAACAAACAGACGAGACATCAGTCCAGACTTAACAGCCTCTCTGTTCTTTTCTATTTTCACTTTTATTGAAGCGGCTGCGTCACCGTCTGTGTGGACGTGCCCACTGCTCCGCCAGCCCGGCCACCTGTGGACACACACCCACTGAGACTGACTGACGGACACACACACACACACACACACACACACACACACACACACACACACACACACACACACACACACACACACACACACTTCCTCAGAAATTAAAGAATAATCCAGAGAGACGGCGACCGTAGAGAAACATAATGCCGAGCTCCTCCCTGCTGCACACAGAGCCTGCTTTCACAGCCAACTCAATTAAACACACACACACACTCACTCACACACACTCTCTCTCTCTCTCTCAGAAAGCTTATGAAACCCGGTGTAATTCAATCAACCTGCAGCTCGTCTCCAAACGCAGCCCGACAAAAGAGCGGGAAACACCACATTCCTCCAGAGATGGGCGCGCGAGCGTGGAGACGGGCCGGGTTACCGTGGAACCTGATCCTCAAAGGGGGGTCCAGGGCCAAATAAGCATGGCCTAATGGTTATAATGGGGGGGCAGGGGCACAGTAATGACAGCCATGATGAAGGGAGGAGGAGAAGGGAGGAGGGAGGAGGAAGGGGAGCGTGTCAAAGAGAAAACAGCTGTCTGTCATAGAGGAGAGACAGCATGCTACCATTAGCCTGTCACACTCCGATATCATTACAGGTAATCATACACACACACACACACGCTCAAAATCATTAAAACACACTCTTTGCACACCGAGGGAAAGAAAAGCAAAAAGAAAAGAGGCCCCCAAACATACCTACTTCAAGACTAAAGCAAGATTTATTCAAAGAGAGAGAGAGACGGAGAGAACACGACACATAAAGAAAGACACAAGGTGAGAAAAAACAAACAAACAATCAAAGAGAGGGAAAGGAGAAAAGATGAATCATTCAACAACAAAGGTTTCAGAAGAACGACAAAGGTTGAATGAAAGACAAAGAAAGAAGTAAAAGTAAAAAAGAAGGATAGAGATCAGGTACTTGCACAGTTTCTGAGTGACCATCTTATATATATTAATATTTTCCACAAATGTTTGATAACTGCATTTAAACGCACAGTATGTAAAATCCACCACCAGGGGGCTCTCAATCAAAAACATAACAAAAGATGACGTCGAGGCCAACGAGGAATCATGGGAGAGATTCTCTTTGCTACTCGCCACCCCCGAGCCCCCGGTGAAAACGAACTCTGTGTTGACCGTAGTCATGACGAGCGGGCGAAACCGACCTGAGGAAGAGAATATGTTTACAGACGAGCTAATGTATCGGAGTTTAATTTACATGATGTTTATATAACAGCAGCTCATACAGCAACAGCACACTTCCTTATTTAACGCTCTATGACTTAATATCCGGTGTTTCCACGGCAACGATAAACATTTTGTGTCTTTTATGGCGGCTCATCATGGCAGCCGCAGCAACAAGACACGTCCCGTTACAACTATAAAATAACAGATTTCTCTGGTTATCGGCCCAAAAAAACATATCGGCCGAAGCCTACTAAAGAATCACAACCAGTATCAGCAGAGTCAGTGAGAGCGCACAGTGCTGTGTGTGTGTGTGTGTGTGTGTGTGTGTGTGTGTGTGTGTGTGTGTGTGTGTGTGTGTGGCGTTCCTGCTGTGCTTCAGAAACGCTGAAACGCAACGTGAATTCACAGACTGGGGCAACAATATGAATTTACTAAGATGTGAGGACGGCTGAGATTAGTTATGACAAAGGCAGTCTGAAAAGAAGAACGAGAAGCTCCAGAACAACTTCCTTCTTCTGAGCTCCGTTTCAGCGGCTCAGCTGGTGGAGTGAAGACCGGGACAGTGGGGGCTTTTTATGAGTCCGCATGGATCAAAGGTACACACACACACACACACACACACACACACACACACACACACACACACACACACACACACACACACACACACACACACACACACACACACACACACACACACACACACACACACACACACACACACACACACACACACACACACACACTAAGCGCTGTGTGCAGAGCCGTCAGGCTAACACAAAGTTCCTCCTGAACATAGAGAGCGAGCTGAGAGAGAGAAAGAGAGAGAAGGAAGATTGTAGAAGCAGATTATTCTCCCCCTTTAGACTCTCTGATGCTTCATGAATACAACATCTGACCTGTGTGAAAGTACACTCACACATGAGGAGCAGAAGAGAGAGAGAGAAAGAGAGAGAGAGAAAGAGAGAGAGAGTCTGATGATATTAACAGAAGAGCCTCAGAGGTGTGTATTCAGTTATGTAAGGAGTCAGACCAGGCCGCCATCTACAGCCGTGTTTAGAGAAATCTTTGGTATTTCCACCGTCAGGACCGACATGTGTTCAGCACATGGCCAAGCGAAAACACAAGCGCCTCCCCCGCCTCCCTCTTTCTCCATCTCCCTGTTCAGACCTTAACTGGGTCAGAGGCACAAACCTGCATCTGTTCCACACCGGCCGCCTTCAGTTTCACATTCCTTCACCGCAGAGACCCCCGCCGGCCTGCGCACATGTGCAACGCAACGTTACACACACACACGTGCACACACACACACACACACACACACGTGCACACACACACAGCAGGGGTCTTCTGACACATGAAGCTGACTTCTGTCATCGATCAGTCTAAATGCAGAGCCAGGAGAACAGCCTCAGCAGCAAACATTGCAGGTTTGTCTCCTCAGAAACATCCCGAGTCTCACTCTCAGCAAAACAGAAAATGTTTACTGTTTACTTTTCATCCAACACACCATCAGCATGTTTACACGCCATCTAGGAGAAGTCGATTTATTGTGTTAGTCCGCCTCGAACGAGACTTTTAACAAACCCGTCAAGATGTTTGTCGAACTGAAATCCTACTAAGTGGAACGTCTTGACGTCGGAATAACACACCTACATAATGTGGTAGGAGATAGATTTACTCTTTCCAGTATACGCCTCAATCTGACCCAAACTGTTCTAGGCGTACTGAGCATGCTCCATGAGCCCCGGCGCCGGGATTTGACCATAGCAGAAGTCGCTTTGACGTCTGCATTAAGATATCACCATAGGCTAGCTAGAGGGAAAGCGTGCATCACATTTTGAACCAAAAGTAAAGTGTAGAGCTGTAAAGTTGAACATTTGGATTCATTTTTTATCACACTAAGACAATAAAGATGTAAAGTTGCCAATTAGAAGCCATCTCTTGTGCTTCAGCCTCTAAAGGTTGGTGCTCTCCGAGAAGGAGCTCAGACAGTCAAAATATAATTTAATGGACTCCTTCTCTCAGGCGGAATCCAAAGAAAGTAAACAAATCACTGAAGGCAAATTGATTTGGTGCCAAGGACTAACGTTTGGACACACTGAAAATAAGTCCTCAAGTTGCCTTAAGTGATGTGTGTGCTCCGGGACTGTCTTTGGACATCTCTGCCTGTGTGAAGGAAAATTGAATCATAGTTTGAAAGTGAAGCTGCCAGTTGAGCTGTGAGCGGGGAGGAAGAAGTCTTGATTGGATCTCCACTGATTTACCGGAATGTCTGAAGTAATGGCCTTGAGGCTAAATCGATGACGAACAGGTTTAAAGAATAATCGAGCAGACTTAAAAATAATTAAACTTGTTGACCTCTGGTGTGGTTTGTGAGTGTTTAGTTTAGTTGTATTTTTTCAGCACATGATGGTACATGTGTCTTGTTTCATATATTTCTTCACTCCCTCATTATACTGATACTCACTGCTCACTCACTGATCATCCACTGTGCTGTCAGAGCACTGACTTCTTCCTCCACTCGGAACTAATGTTCTCTTGGGCTTATTTGGGGTGGCAGTAGCTCAGTCTCTAGGGACTTTGGTTGGGAACGGTTCAAGTCCCGGTGCGGAACATGTCTGGAAATGGGTCTGATAGCTGGAGAGGTGCCAGTTCACTTCCTGAGCGCTGCTTAAGCAAGGCACTAAACCGCCAACAGCTCAGGAGCGCTCTGTGGGCAGCCCCCTCTCACTCTGACATCTCTCTCTTAGTGCATGTCCACAGGATCCTGTTTGAGCCTGTGTGTGTGTGGGTAGCATGTCTCAACAGCATAGTGTAAAACTGAATTGAAAAGTGTATCTTCTTCTCTAAACCAAAGTGAGGACTCACCTTCCAGGAGGCTGATCCTGGACCTGCACAGACACACCAACACATCCAGGAAGGCTCCTCTGGTCACCGAGCATGAGTTCTGTCTGAAAGTCAGAAAAAGAGAGAGAGAGAGATTTTATGTTTGGCTACTCTGATAATGTAGCTTTGATAAACAGTTTATCTTTTTAGGACTGAAGGCGATCAGAATCCCTCTGATTTAGTCAGAGTCTGACTTTGTCAGGCAGCACAATTAAACCGTGTCCTTCAAAAACCATTCAACTGAAAGCTCCTTTTATGAAGTTAATGATCTCACACTGCAGCCTCCGGTCATCAACGGCTATTTTTCCACGCTGATCACACACACACACGCCGATCCTCCTCACAAACACACTCGTTTGCCTGAATTAATCTGTTGGTTGTGAGAAGTTCAGGATCTGCTGATCTGATGTTTTCATCATTAAACCTTTAAAACACTTCTTGTCTCTCTGATGTTGTCGAGTCCTGAGATGTTCTGCCAGCGTTGAATTGGATGGAGACTTGGTCTGTTAGATTATTATTATTATATATTAGTCTATTCCTGGTTTAATGATGATTATGAACTTTAATCAAAGGTGTCCAGAGGCTGTATTACTGAATCGTTCACTCCTGTCCGACTAATATGTTTGTATACTGTGTTAAGTCAACCGAGTTTTGTTCCGGTCGCTGGGTTGATTGTATTCTCAACAAAACGCTCCAGGGTTTGTAGGAAGTGAACAGAGACCACCACAGCAATAGTTATGATTCTAACCAAGGGGATCAACCACCATGGCTTCAATCAGGAAACAAACTTTCTGCTGCAGCTTTTTAGCTTCTATTTTACACAGTTTTGAACTGATCCCTGAGTCACTCTCACAGTACACAAAGCAAACATTAGCTTCACTTCTGGTCTGAACACAACTCTTCCCTGGTCTGAAGTGACACCACAAGGTCAGAGTCAGCAGCAGAGAGCTACAGGAGACTCTGCAGTCATCCTCACAGCGCTGCGGAGGAAAGAAGAAGTCCAAAATGACACAACAGACGGTGTGAGGCCAAAACCAAACAGTGACTCAGAGCAGACCAACACTGCATTCCTCCCTCTGTGAAGGAGGCGGCTCCACATCAGTGGATTCTTAGGAGAGACTCAGATCCTCCGAGCCGGCCGGCCTGCTGTGATCACTGGGACAGATCACCTGCCACGCTCTACTAAGCAAGAATCCATCCCGTCATCTTAATAAAGGCTCATCAGTGAAACAGAGCGCAGCCAGCATGGCTAATGGTGCTAACGTAGCGACCTGAAGAGAGAGCGTAGACGCTGGCCTGACCTCAGCAAGGCAGGAGGGGTGGTGGTGGGGGGTAAAATGTGTAATCTGTGCCCCAACTTCAGGCCTCGATGTCAGGTGAGAGGGCGAGAGGTAGAGGGGGGAGAAGGGGAGGGGCTGCGGATGAGACAGCAGGCGGTCTCTTTGAAACGTTAGCCCGGCCAGGACATGAAGCGGACACGGACAGGGAGGCGACGACCGAGGAGACAAGGAGCTATTCTTCATGTGAGGGAGCAGGACGGATGCTTATCTGTGTGCGTGTGTGTGTGTGTGTGTGTGTGTGTGTGTGTGAGAGAGTCTAGGATTACCGAGAGGCAAGCCACATGCGTTGGAGGAGAGCTTCAGCGATGCCGTTTCCTGCTGGCGGGGGTCTGTGAGAGTCGGTCTGATAGGAGCGCAGCAGAAACAGCACCTGCACACACAAACACACATTCCTGTAAATACCTTGGAAAACATTCATATTTTACATTTATACATGAGATAGGGTCAGATTGACTTCACAAACCAAAGAACCTGAACCCAAAAGGAACCCAGGGCCTCTTCACTCCTGCAGGATGTGGACTGAGCAACCCGGTGTGTTATCTGCATGTTCTCTCAGGGTGTTTATTTATTATGCCAACTTTTGAAATCTTATTTTCTCCCCTATAAAGGGTGCTACTTGTTACATTCATTTGCCATTCCTCACATCCCATCTCCTTGATTGACCTGGAAATCATCCCCCCCATAAATACCCTTGAAGGAGACTAGGATTGAGAAAGGAGACGGTGTCTGGAGGAGCCCAGAGCTCAGATCCTCTGTGGAAGTGTTTTCACCAGGGACATATACATTTTTCACATTTTTATTCTCATGTGGAGGTGCGACATCCTCCAGAAGTATAATTTGAACAATCATGCGTCCTAACTCCTTCGGGGTAAACCTAAAAGGATCCAGAAACAGCAGCGGGGGGCAGTCACGCTGACAGAAAATGTTCAAGAATTCATAAAAAGTTTCCTGTTAAAGATCAGATCGTTCTCCTCTCTGTGGCCGATGTGACCGATTCAGTGTGCAGCAGGTGGACGGCTGGTTAGTGTGTTTAGAGGTCGCTGACTGACTGACTGACTGACTGACTGACTGGCTGGGTGTGTATTCTGAGCCTGGGTAAGTATACTCTTTAAGCCGGGCTCGGCCACAGACCAGCAGGAAGCCATTCATTAAAGCGTGCAGGGAAGGAAACGTGGGGAAAAACCAGGCCGACCACGTAGCACCAAGCCTGGCTGCTGAGTCCAGGCTGCCCCCCCAACTCTGCTCCTGCAGAGTCCACGCCCAAGCAACACCCAGCGGCTTGTAGACACACACACAGCTCACACGCTGTTCACACACACTGCTAACACACACTTCTAACACACACACACAGCTCACACACACTGCTAACACACACACAGCTCACACACCCTCCCTCCTCTCATTTTTTGAGAGCTTTTACACCGTCAGGAGGACCGGCGCTGTACAGACGACTCCAAAACAAATATTGAACCTTTACAAGTAATCAACTGTATAAATAATTTACAGGATAACTCAGAGTTTAAATATTCTCTGCAAATATTCACTGCAGCCGTTTTCACACATGCATATCTCAGGCAGGTCCCCCCTGAACTCTTCTAATTAATAGTTATGCAACTATGCCGCAGAAATTCAGCTGTTGTTCTGGCCTCTTGAAGTTGCTGCTGAACAACAAACATGAAATCATGTTAAGGTAAAAAGGATTTCACTGTATAAATCAAGCCAAACCTCAATTCACCAAAAGATTAAGAGAAAAGTTTGAATTGATGCTGAGGTTTGTCTAACTTTAGTTTCCAGGCTGCTGAAACGTTGAAACCAAAGCCTCTCAGTGGTTGTGTGTTTGTTTAGTGTCACATGCAGCTCTGTATTTGGTTGACTCATTCAGAAACAGAGTTTTGCTCTCTTCATTGATCTCCCTCCCAGCTTCACCTCGTACACCGAGCTGGGAAGTCCCTACAACCGGCTCAATCCAGCCTGGCCTGCAGGGAAAGCAGAATATTTATAGAAAAGGCATCCTCCCTGTTCCTCCTCCTCCTCCCTGAGATGGAGGACAGACTACACCCGGTGTGGGAGGAGGTGCTGGGACTGGATGGAGCTCAGATGGATAAGAGATAATAAGATGGCAGCACAGAGAGCTGCTGCAGAGTCAGAGCATATTACACTTTTAGGGCTATCAGTGTTTACAAGTTAATCGTGATACGATTAAGGTCTGAAGTTAGCGCATTTATTTTTTAGATTCTGGTCCTGAATGCTCTGGATTTGTTTGGACCAGAGAAGGTAGGCGGTTTTAAGGCACCCCCAAACGGCCGTTTTGGACACCCCTCGGTTTTCCAGATATGAGAGCAGTTATCAGGTCAACAGGTGTTGCAGTGATGGAAGCGGGCAAGAGAAGTGGTTCAGATAGAAGTGATTGTACCCGACCTAAAAAGCCTCTGCATGTTTCTAATAAGCTCCACGAGCAGAAACGTGCTCAAACTAGGATCAATATTGGAGATGCTTTTGAAAAATGGAGAGAAGTTAGAACACAAAAAGGTTTACAGACCGATGCAGAGCTGGATAAACACTGAAGCTTCAGTGTCCACCACATGGCGACCTGTGTGAGCATCGGCTGTAAGAGAATTTGGACTCCAGTACCCATTTTAAACACTAGGTGTCAGAGTTACATATTGCTCCTTTAACTATTAAAATTCCTAATACCTTCATTAACAGGACATTTAAGGAAAGAATGTTTATAATAGCACATCTGGTCTACCATTGGAGTTAGATTTTCTGAATGTAGAGGATGATGAGGGTATTTCTAGTTGTTTTTAAGATTAGTTTTTGCCTTAGTCGATGAGACAGCTGAAGGGACACAGGATATATTAAGAGGTGAGAGAGGGGAGAACATGCACCAAATGGTCACAGGTTGTGATAAGAACCAGCAACCAGAGCGTCAGAGACTGCAGTCTCTCTACTATTCGACAACAGATAGCGACCTCAATCCAGTTAGGTCGACATGTTTTAAAATGCGTGGGTACTTTTTAAAATTTGAAGTTTCTGACCAGGTGAGATTATTAAAGGAGTCAGGTTGGGAACTCTCACTCCAGGCCTCGCCAGGTGAGCAACAGTGGTTCTAGATTTTGTGTTATTTAGCTTCATTTAAAAAAAAAAAAAAAGAAGATGAATACAGACTATCGCCACCTGCTGTTGTGGAGGGGTATGGAGACATACATGCTGGTTATCCATCAGCTGTTGTGTTTGCAGTGTGAAAACGAAAAATGTGATCCTCTCCGAGTACATTTATCAGTGGAAGAATGTTGGATTTCAGTTTCACACTTCCATTGCTTTAAATCAAAAACAAAATATTTAGTTGCCTCAATGTTTCTATGTTTATTGCAAAGATGCTTGCATCTTATTCTTATTTTCTAAATAAGGAGGTGAGAGCAGAGAGCTTTGGTCAAAGACCTGAGAAAAAGTTTGAATGACTTGTGGAGGTATAATCCATTATTCTCAAACTTTCAAAAGAATTTGTCTTTAAAAACTTTAAATTATATATACGTGGGCTCTAATTAAAAGACCACAGCAGCAAATGAACCTCCTCTGTAGCTTTGAGCTGCAGCTTTAACGAGCAATAAACTCGTAAAGTGTGGCCGCGCTAAATATGAAAATATCCAAACCTTCATGTACGCCTTGTTTTCTGGTGAGACGCTGAACTGCAGTCTGTGTGTGTGTGTGTGTGTGTTGTAACCAGCCTGCCTCCTCTTTTTGGACCTGGTAAAAATAGTGGTGGTGGATGTGAGGTCCCTTCAGACTCTGTTATCAGCCTGCCTGCTGTCCCTCCCACTGCCGCAACCACAGACTGACCACACGCTGCAGGGAGCTCTCACACATACACACACACATACACACAAAGAGCAAGTGCAATTGCAAATAAGTGTACGCTCATTCATGGCTCAGTGCAGTATAAATCCAGGCTCACATAAAGCAGACGGAGGTTTGGAGAAGTGTGGACGCACCCAATTAGACAGAAAGAGATCCACATAAAGACGGCTAAATATAAAAAGACATAAACACGCATTGGAGATCCATATAAATGTATTCTTGCACAAACAAAGTGACATATACGCACATGACTAAGTCACACTCACTTGTGTATATGTCTGTGTTTACTGGCAGGTGGGTGAAATGACAGCATTTGTTTCTGGTCAGCAGTTGTTAACCGTTGTTCCACTTATCTAAAAGGTCACATATTCTGTAAAATACACTTTACTATGTTTCTCTAACACTAATATGTGTCCCTAGTCTGTCTACAAACCCCCCAATTATGAGAAAAGTCCATCCTCTCCGTCTTTTGCCTGCTCCATTTTTCAGAAAATGTGTGCTCAAACAGGCTGTTTGGAGATTTTCCCTTCATGACATCACAAAGGGCAGTAACCCCCCCCCCCCCAGGTGGGTGACACTCCCACAGCTAGGTGTTTGTTCTGCCCTCTGAGTCTGCCTTCTCACCGTAAACAATAGGACATGGAGCGAGAAAGCCAGAGACACCCAATCCCTTCCAGAGAGGGGGCGTGGTCAGACACAGCTCATTTACATATTTAAAGGTACAGACACAGAAACAGCCTGTTCTGAGCAGGGCTGAAATAGAGGGGTTTATAGGCATGATCAAATACAGGATCAGAGTGGATTTAGAACAAGAAACTTCACACATGTTTTGGGGAGCTCTGAGACTTATTTACACTGGTTGAAAATTTGAATAAAATGTGACTTTAAACCAGGTGTTTGACAGGACGGGCAGAATGTCTTTTTGCTCCAAGACAGTACAGTGGGCACGTTAGTATGTCGGACACAGCCATACTACCACTTGTTACTGATGCTAAGAGCTATCTAATGTTAGCAGCTTGCCTGACGGGCTTAGACCGACACCCCCAGCTACATCTGTGTAGCGAGGAAGGTGGAGAGGGTGCAGCGGAGCAAAAGCCAGCAGCCGTGCTCAAACTACCAGCTGGAGAACGTGAGATGTAGGATAGTTCGTGACGATTAAAATGCTCTGACAGTAATTTCAGGCTGAATCTCTTTTTCTGGTTCTCCTCTGAGCGTTCCTCAGAGAGAACACAGTCCAGCTGCTATAACAGCAGAGACACCAGAAACATCTCTGCTGCCAGATGAAGCAGACTGCAGCCCAGCTCATCTGTTGTGAAAACACGCACAGGATTACATTCGTCCACTCAGCCCTCCTGAGCCCTCCTCAGCCCTCTACAGACCGCAGCTTTGATACTTCTGCTCCGCAACAGTCGGAGTGGGTGGGTCTACAGCTGGCGCGTGTCGAGAGCCGAGAAGGTGTCGGGTCAGGTTAGTGCTGGTCTGTCTGACGGGCTCGTTAGGCTCGGTTCTGTTTGTATCAACTGGATTTGGGCTTATTCGAAGTGATTCCAGGTCGACACAGAGACGAGGACCATCTCCAGTGAGATCAGTGACTCAGATGGTTTTTATTTTGTTTCATCAGTTTTTATTACACTCAGGTTAACTCAGACAGTCCTTACATTAGTGTTTCAGGTTACTGTGACACTACCTCTTGATTTATCTTCAAATGTTTCATACACAGACTGTAAATATGAAAGGACAAAGCCTGAGACAAAGAATTAGTATTTTATCCGCAGAATATCCGAGTGAGCTGATCTCTGAACGCAGCCGAATATACTCCGGAGATTTCAATTTCAGCCAATGAAAAGAGAATGACGTTTATATACAGTGACCGGCTAAAGTGTCTGCACGCGACCACTACGATCTCCGTGCACATAATTAAACGTCTGCATTATGTTTTCTGTTCGTCAGTATGTTGTTCTCCACTCTTTTGTGAATGTTGTCTTTCCATTGGATTACACATAGTATTGATATAAAGGCAAATATTCTCATTATAAGGTCGTGTAGCGGACTCTGTTGCTTCGGCCGCTACTTTCGCATTGTTTATTTACGTCACATATTACACCTATTTGGTTTTTTTAACCAGGTTGCCAACATGTTAATCTCTGCTGTAAAAACAGGCTTTTTAGAATGGGTGTGTATGTGACTTCCTGTGCTTCTGCAGCAGGCCTCTAGTGGATACTTGAGGAACTGCAGGATTTTACACTGCTGCACCGGAGTCTGCAGCTTGGTTTTATATCCCTTACATGTGTGCAACCTTACAAATATGCAAATGTTTCCCTCCCCTTAAAATGTAACTGACAAAGACATTGGATTTTAAAAATTCTGTTATGCTTAATTTGGTTTTAAAAGAGAAGAAAACGGACACAATAAGCATCTCTACAGTCCAAACACAAATTCTTCATCAGTGTGAAGGGACAGACATGCAGAAACACACACACACACTTCATCCCTTTCTCTGTGTCATTCTTCTGAAGTCTCAACATCACGTCTTCACTGAAGAACATCTAACAAACACTTCTCAGACTTTGTCCTCTATCACTCAGTATGTTTCCATGAATTGATCAGATTTATCGTGAAAGTCTGACTAAAACTGGACTTTTAAAATACATGGAAACATGTTGGTCTGACTGAAATATCATACCATGTCGCCTCAACATGAAAACTGATCACATTTCTGCGATGAAAGGCGGACAAATTGAACTCTACTTTTCTCCCGGAGTCTCTCTTTAGCCTTTAGCAGCCCCCTCCCCTCACCATCTCTGCCTCCTTTATCCCACCACAGCAGACCTCCCTGCAGTCCAGACTGCCACCAAACCAAGAGACCTCCGTCAGGAAGAAAACGCTACGCCCCTCCAGTGGTGTTCAATAAGAGGCCGGGGAGCCTCAGAGTGTGTTGATGTTACAGAGAGACTGTTTGTGTTGTTTGTCAGAATGTGATGACTGAACCAAACACTGAAATCTACCCTGAGATAACCGCTGTGTTTGTGTGTGTGTGTGTGTGTGTCTGTGTGTGTGATCATGTGTGTGTGTGTGTGTGTGTGTGTGTGTGTGTGTGTGTGTGTGTGTGTGTGTGTGTGTTGAGGTCTGATGCCAATCTGTAATCTGTGAATGTGCACATAATCATGTGATTACTGCTCTGCTTCTTGTATTTCATATTTGGCCGTCAGAAGTTAAAGGTTGAGGTTTTGAAGATCTTAATGTTTAAACTTGAAAACAGCAATTTAAATTACTGGGTTTATCATCGTTTGAGAGCAACAGATGAATCGCTCTTGATACTAAATTAAGTAAAATATATAGCTTTTTTACATATATTTAGACTTAAAGGAAGAGCTAGTCGCTTTTTCCTAAAAAAATAAATGATAGACTTCTCCTAAAGTGAAGCTGCTCCATCGTCCCTTCTGGGCCTCCATATGTGATCATCATGTGTGATGGTGACTGTGTCTGCAGAGACTCTGTCCTCTGACTGGATTTTACTGCTCCAGTTTGTTCTGGTCGACTCTGGACGTTTCTGGGCGGGGAGCTGGTGTGTTTCCTCCAGCCAATGACAGCGCAGCAGGTGAGTTTAGGATATTATTCAGGAATCGACGCAAATATGAGGTGGAAAGCCAAGCCGATAAAGCTCGTTCCAAAACGAGGGTGAACCTTGTGTTGTCTTTTATCCGTGGACGTGGAGTCGGTCTGCTGCTGGCAGGTGACAAACACCGGCAGTTAGCTCGTGCTAGCGTGCATTAGCTTGCAGTGTAGGTACAAGCAGTAAACGTACACACTACGTCCTGCAGTGAGGGTGAGCTTGTGGGAGCAACCAGCCCAGGACGTCATGACCTTAGGCATGTCGCCCCCCCCTTTATTGCGAGGGGCCGTTTCTTTGCACAGAGTGTGTTGGGATACATAACGACGCAGACCAGGCTTGCGATGCCACTTTTTAACATGTTTTCTCCGCCATGAGGTCATAATACTGCATTTAAAGAAAACATAAGTAAATAAAGCTACTGGAGCGCTGGTTTGACTGAAAAGACAACAATTGAGCAGAGGAGGTGGAGCGAGCAACTGGAGGCGAATATGTCGGGGGCTCTGGGCCCTTACTTGACAAGTATCTACGAAGGCTGAGAGCTCAACTGGCGTGCAGGTAGCTAGCAGGATTACAAAATCCACATGTTGACAACAGATGTTACTAAAAGAGAGACACAGCTGAACACAATTTGCCGAACACAACACAAAAATCATCACACACGAAGACCCCCCCAAAACAGACTGTGACTTATACTCCAGACTTTTTGTGTTAAGTTGAGGACTGAGTGTACCCAAAGGACTAACGGGTTTATCTTAGAGTCCACTATACTGTGAAAACATGCACAGAGAGTCAGGGTTTGATTCCCCCTGAGACTCCATCAACAAATAAACTTGGGTTTATTATTACAGGCCCCTCTGATTGTTCTGTGTGTTATCTTGTGTGTGTGTGTGTGTGTGTGTGTGTGTGTGTGTGTGTGTGTGTGTGTGTGTGTGTGTGTGTGTGTGTGTGTGTGTGTGTGTGTGTGTGTGTGTGGTGCATACCTGCAGCAGAGTCCCGTGGATGTGGTTCTGTTGGGTCTGGGGTCCCGGCTGCAGAGGAAGCCCCTGCAGTAAAGTGTGGACGGTGGACGGGACCTGAGTGAGCAGCACGAAGGGGACAAGGGCCCGCGCCGCCATCTCTCGGGTCCGATACACTGCCGAGCGACCACATCTGGAGAAAACACACAAACACACACACCAAGAGACAGAGTGCAACATAAGAGTCATGGAAAGTTATTGGAATCCTGGAAAATACAAAGATGCACTGTTATCTTTATTTTCGTTGGTCAAAAATTACATGAATATTTTATTTTTTTAAGTCAAGGCAGCAATACCATTTTCATTATCACAGGTCAGAGGTTTTTATTGTATCTCTCTCTCTCTCTCCCCGACACACACTAACTCAAGTTCACATACAGTATCCACACTGATGCAGAATGTGGCCCGTCACCCAGAATACAGGCTAAAATTAACCTTGTTTACAGGCTGATAAAGTTTCCTACTCCAGTGTCATAACACAGACTCGACTGACTCGACCGACATGTCCCCCCCCCCCCGGCATGAGGAGGGGACGTGATCAAGACCTGAGCGAGACGAGAGGGGGAGGAGGGGGAGAAGAATCGCTCTGAGCAGGAGAGAGCGACTGGAAAACTATTTAACAGAATATACGCCTTACTGTTGACTTGGAGTTACAAAACCAACTCATCGCCAGCACACCACCAACTACTGGCCTGGCATGTGTACTACAGTTTTAGGATCCGTGAGCACGGTGGTTGTTAACAAAATGTTGACATCTTAAAGAAGAACTTTTTAAAAAAATGATTATGTTTACAGAGGATTGTCTTTGTGTAAAATTGGCCTGTGATGCTCAGGTTGGTCAGTAGGCATAAAAAAAAGTCATACTAAAGTATGCAGAGTAAATAGAATACATACTGTACAGTGACATGATGGGAGCACAGCCAACACGTACACATTTACCGAAGAGAGTCACAGCAGGGTGAAATGTGTGTGTGTGTGTGTGCATGTATGCAGAAGGTGTCTATAGGATCAGTGATGGAGGACGAATAAGCTCTCTAAAAACCAGGAAGGTTCAAGTGAAAACCTGAATGATTTTATCCTCCTGACCAGAACAAGAGAACGACGGTCCTCCGGTCCGATGCTCCAGAAATAAAAATGAAACATAAGAAGCCCGGAATCAAAACGAACAAAGAGTGGCTATGCAACAAGTCAACTGTCAACAAATGCTCCCCCACCTGCTGTGAACATGTCTCCCCCCCCCCCCCACACACACACACACACACACACACACACACACACACACACACACACACACACACACACACACACACACACACACACACACACACACACACACACACACACACACACACACACACACACACACACACACACACACACACACACACACACACACACACCTGCAGTCAAACAGACAACCAGCGAGCAGCATCAAACACAGACAACAGTTTGCATTCCTTGAGCTCTACACGCCTGTACACACAGATTTATGAGCACAAACGGCTCACAGACACACAGACACACACACACACAGACACACACAGACACACACACACACAGACACACACACACACACACACACACACACACACACACACACACACCCCCCCAGAAACATTTGGAGCCCATATGTGAACTATCTGAGCTAATCTGTCCCATTGAAACACTTTTGTAAAAGGAAATGACAGTTTGGAAGGGTGTAATTTTAGAAACAGGGCCGTCCCCTGTGTGTGTGTGTTTGTGTGTGCGTGTGCGTGTACTAACTAGGCTCATCTGGGCCTGATTATGTAGAACAGTTTCATCTACAGAGACAGCAGCATGTCGGCTGAACGAGAACAAACACAACAGTGCGTCACTGAAGAAGAGGGATGAAGCACAGAGGGGATTTTCACACAGACGGGACGAGATCTGAACATCATTCATCTGAACACTTCAGAGCTTACGACGGTCAAAGCACTCTGAGTGGAGCTGGATCATGTCTGACTTCATAGCCTCCAGTGAGAATAAGAGATAGACACATGACATGATGTCAAACGGCCTGAATCCCTCTTAGAAACGTTCAATCTGAATCAAACTTGTTCCACATTTAGTAATCCTATCGTTTACCAGGGTCAGCTCACCTCTCTTGCACTAGAGTCCATTTGGTTCCATGGTGACCTCGGTCAAACTGAGGGTGCATTTTTTTAGATTCTATGTTTGACTGCGTCACCTTAGTTAACACAACCATGAATCCAGTTTATAAGACTGTGCGATGATTTCAGTAAAGTCCAAAGCATGCAGTGTAGCTGTGCAGCTCTTTTAGAAACATCTGATAGCCTAGTGGCTAGTGTGCTAAGGTTATAGTCCTCCAAGCAGCGGCCTGGGTTCAAGTCCGACCTGTGGCTCCTGTCCTGCATCTCTCTCTCTCTCTCTCTCTCTCTCTCTCTCTCTCTCTCTCTCTCTCAGAGGAAAGAATTCTTGGATCTATGAATCTATTACAACTTTTTGATTTGGTCTTTATAGTTTCTTTCTGCACATGTTGAAAGTGAGCTGTGAAGTTAATTAAATTCAAAATGAAAAATAAATGTGGAGTAAGAGAAGTATAATTGGAGTTTAATCAATATAATTATAAGTGAACTTGATTAAATGTTCTCAGTAACCACAGAGACATTCTGCATAAAGAGTCTCCCAAACAAAATCACAAACAGTCAGCAGGGAGGAAAACAAACTTTAGTCTTAGTGTGCTGCATCAGAGTTAACTTTACAAAGAAATGAGATATGAAGGGGGGGGGGGCCTGGGCTGGATATCAGAGAACATGAATTATTGTCCAGGAGGAGGAGGAGGAGGAAGACGAGTGGGATGAGGAGGAGGAGGAGGACGAGGAGGACGAGGAGGATCAGTGGGACTAGGGTGAGGAGGGTGAGGAGAGAGCCCGGGCTGGATATCAGAGAACATGAATTATTCTCCAGGAGAGGGAGGGTGAGGAGGTGAGGAGGGTGAGGAGGGTGAGAAGGGTGAGGAGGGTGAGAAAGGTGAGGAGGGCAGGACAAACTCAAACTGTTGAGCAGATATGAATGTTCAGAAGATATGTCGATGGAATGAAGCAGCCATTAATTATTACAATAAAAGTGTCTGCTTCATCATCCTCCCTCTTCTCTATCGTCATCACGTTAATCCTCTTTGCTAAGCAGGCAGGTGTGACGCATGCCGGGGGGGTTATCGGGGGAGGGGAGGAATGCTAAACCTCTGTGAGGGAGTGGAGGAAGATATGAAGATAAAATCCTGAGAGTTATGAGGCCTGATGCTCCGTCCTGTCAACAGAGGAGGAGCGGAGGTCATTTAATCCTCAGAGGTGTGTGTGTGTGTGAGTGAGGGGTCACATAATACGGAGGGGGGGGGGTATAGTCATCGACCTCAGCAGACCCGTCCTCACACACCCGGGGACGATGGGACGGGGTGAAGAGAAACACGACAGGGAGCCAAAGAAATCAGAGCCGAGTTATTTTTATCGTTTCCAACATGTGGGACGGTTTGTGTTCGACGTGTGTGAGGAAGAAATCCTCCGACACCGAACTGAACACCTGCTCACAGCGCTCACAACAATCAGGGTTTATAAAAAAATCATCAGATTATTCCTCCTATAGAAGAGAGTCTGCTAGATCTGTTAATCGAGAGCTGATTAGGAAGTATCAAAACCAGTCCTGGCATTATCAACTATCAAATACGAAGCTTCAAGTTTCAACTGTTGATGTTTACAGCCAAGCCCCCCTGTGACCCCCCCTCAGTTTCCATTCACGACGTGCTTTTTACTCAGTCCAACAGGATGAGCTTGCAGAGTCCGACTCACCGCATATATTTTAAGAATACTATCCCAGTTATTTTCCGATTGATCGCCCAAATGCAATAAAACATTCAAATCAAAGGTTCACCCTTGTAGCGGGGAAATTCAAAGCTTTTTATAAACTGATACATTGTGTAAGTGCAAGTGTCTTGCTGATAATTTGTTTTTAGTGTCAGAAAACATTTGAAGATGAAAATATGAAATGTCAACACGATGTGCAAAAATACTAAAGTAAGCTTTGACTGACTTTAAGCTGTGAGGGGTTAAAAACGCAACTTTATAACATTTAATGTGTGAAGATATTTACACAGGAAAACATCCTAAGGCACCGTGTGGGTCGTGTTTTAAAGTTCGGTTGAGTTGTTGGGACTTTAAAGATCAAGGCTCAAGATGTCCATCAGACATGTTGCTGAGATTAAAGCTGTGAGTGTTTGAGGTCAATGAGTCCTAACAACAACATGACACCAGTGTGTGTGTGCGTGTGTGAGTTTCAGGTGTGTGGAGCGAGCAGGTGCAGCAGATGTACATGTAACAATAATATTTGTTTCTCTCTGCATCTCAGGAATGGGAACGATGAAGTCTGTCAGCGCAGTTTCCCATTCGCCTGGAAGCTCTCCTTCTCAGAAAACACTGAGCCGTGTTCAGATAACACTCTCAATGCTGCTCAGACACACACACTCTCACTGTACTCACACACACAGCACTGAACTGCACGCAAAAGGACAAACAGGTTTTTCTAAAAGCTGTGGAAGGATCTGGTTAAGTGAAACACAGGAGCTCACACTCGGTGTTTAGTCTGCAGGTGTTTTGTCTGAGATTGTTCTAAACTTAGAACGACTTCTGCTTCAGAGAAATGTTATTGTGCTCTCGCAGCGGGTGTGTGACCGTCTGTGGTTTGATAAAGCATCACACACACTGTGCTGGTTATTGTTTTTAACTTTAGATATTAGTATCATGTTTGGTATTATTAGTCAAACATTGAGCTTTATTTGATCTGGTCTGAATCACGCTCTGATTGATGGTGATGGAGCAGAGACTCTTTGAGCTGCTGTCAGTGATCGGGATTGTGAACTTGATCGGGGCCGCCCCGATTAGAATTTGTAAACATTAAACGTGTTCAATATTTAGGATCAGAAATCCTGGTGTGTGAGGACAACACCGAGGAAGACCAAGGAAGGCTGAGCACTAGAGATGGGAAAAGAGAAAAAAAAACAAGATTCTCATCTTCTGAGATTTAAATAGATTAATAACTTCCAAAAACTTCCTTTTTGGCTGATCAGTCACTCCCTGCTAAGTGCTAAGGCTAGCTCTTTAACTCAGTAGAATGCCAAATAGAGCAGGAAGTCATTCAGCCACTCTCCCAGATGACTGGAGGAGATCCTAAAGTATGTACTAATTCAAAACTAGACTTTGAATCATCAATCCAGAACCGTTTTGAATCGAAAATAGATTGTGAATCGAATCGAACCGTAAGACACCCAAAGATTACCCGCCATACCGAGCACGGACTCTGTTAATTGTCATGTGGAACGGAACAGTAGCCAATAGGGAAGCAAACTAACTGAAGCAGGAAGCACAACAAACATTACCAGCTAACAGCTAGCCACATTTAGCTTGAGCATCACGTTTGTTTACTCGTAGAGTCGAGTCTGACTGCGACTCTGGTTGTTGGTGAATGAATCTGTCAGTGTGTGGCGTGCTGAGTGAGCCGTCTCGTTGCTCTCCACACACTTTAAGAACTGAACTGTTAATCTGTCGTCATGTGTCGGCTCTGTCACATTTTGAAAATCTTATAGTGTGCCAGGCCTTAGTGAGTAAAAAACACTCTGCTGCAGTAAATAAGTTCTGTGTGGCCTCTGCTTAAAAAACAACAACATTATATTATCTGAGTAGTATGGGATGTTTCTCCAGGAGGAGTCTGTTTAACCAACACGCTGAGAGATAGAGACGGACATGAGAACACGGCATCTAAGAGGAGCTTGTGATCCAAACTGTTTGTGTCCTGATGTGTGGCGAAAAACAAGAAAGAAGAAAAAAAACTAATAATACAAAATAATAATAATCAGCTGTTGTGATGCAGATGTTATGACTCTCCGCTCCACAATCTGTGTGGTTTGAAGTCATCCCTGGATTTATCATCAGACAAAACCCTCCTTTTGTACCCAAAGTCCTGATATTTCACTGTCAAGGTGTCCCCAACATCTGCACAGCTGGCAGATAGATCCTTTAATAACTCAAAATAACAAAGGCGTTACAGGGGTGAGAAGGGGTCAGCGGATCCAGCAGGGGAAAGCAGAGCTGTATGTGTGTGTGGAGCTTCAGCTGCTCTCTCTCGCTTCAAAACGCTGTAAAGTATTTTGAATTGACAGATTGGGACACCAATCTTACACCTTTGGGGAGTCAGTATGAATGTCTTTAGGTGTCATGAGGGCAGAGCTTCATCACATATCTGTCTCTGGGGCTTTAAACTTCATCTCCTGAAGAAAATCTAATTTGGTTTTGTGTTGGGATACATATCAAAATGGTGCTTCATGCAGAATTTAATTTCAGGTATCGGCTTGATGACATTGTTGTGTTCAGAAATGAAAGGGCGATGGTGGCTTTGGCGCATTGGTTAGTGCGTGTACCCCATGTACAGAAGCTGTAGTCCTCCAAGCAGACAGCCTAAGTTCGAATCCGACCTGTTGGTCTTTTCCCGCATCTCATTCCCAGCTCTATCTCTCCCAGATTTCTGACCCTACCCACTGTCACGTCTCTCCAATTAAGGCCCCAGACACTATAAAATAAACCTTAAAAAAGAAGAAATTATTCTCCTGACAAAGAAAAGAAATGATGGATACTTCTCTGAGACCTGAAAACAACAATATCCAACGTGTCCTCTGTGTGTGTGTGTGTGTGTGTGTGTGTGTGTGTGTGTGTGTGTGTGTGTGTGTGTGTGTGTGTGTGTGTGTGTGTGTGTGTGTGTGTGTGTGTGTGTGTGTGTGTGTTTATAAGTAGACCTGTTTGTAGACCTGTGTGATTGACACCCACCTGATGATGAAGGGCATGAAGGGCGCGAGTCCAAGAGGTGACGAGGATCCGTCCATGGGAGACGGGTAGAGTCGACTGAGCACGAGCAGCAGCAGGAACAGACTGGGGTGGAGCTTCACCTGCCCGCTGTCACTAAACACAAACACACATATTTAACATCATTATTATTAATATAGTATCTAAAGTACAATATGACAATAAGGATGGCAGGAATACTCAGAGGACAGGAGTGACTTTATGTGCAGCTTCTTCCCTTCTGACCTTTTATGAAACGTTTCATTGAACCTGCATTCTTGTTGTATGACTGTGAGTTTCTCTTTGGGCTAAGCTGAGCTTTCTAAGAAATTCCTAATATAACGAGGGTTTGGGGAAGTTTTTAAAGGTCCAATCAGTAAGATGTGTAGTGAGTGAGATGATAAAGTGACCTTACTATATGATCAGACATTAAGGAAACATGTTATGTTGAAGTGCTGGCTTCTCTGACAACAATGCAGCAGCCAGTATGTCCTCCTTCTAACTTTAGATTCTGCTCCTGAATGCTCTGGATTTGTTTGGACCAGAGAAGGTAGACGCTTTTAAGACACCCCCACACGGCCGTTTTGGACGCCCCTCGGTTTGTCAGATATGAGAGCAGTTATCAGGTCAACAGGTGTTGCAGTGATGGAAGCGGGCAAGAGAAGTGGTTCAGATAGAAGTGATTGTACCCGACCTAAAAAGCCTCTGCATGTTTCTAATAAGCTCCACGAGCAGAAACGTGCTCAAACTAGGATCAATATTGGAGATGCTTTTGAAAAATGGAGAGAGGTTAGAACACAGAAAGGTTTACAGACCCATGCAGAGCTGGATAAACACTGAAGCTTCAGTGTCCACCACATGGTGACCTGTGTGAGCATCTACTCTAGAGAAGAGGGGGCGGGGGGAGACAGCTCTCTGCAATCTTATGAACTTTGGACTGCAGCACCCATTTTAACCACTAGGTGTTAGAAGCTGTTTTGAGGCAGATCGAATAAATGTACCTCTTTTGTGAAGCACATCCAGACATCTTCTGTTTTATGTTTCGAAATGTGCTGTTTCAATTAAAAGTGACTTGAATAATGTGTCTCTATTTTCTAATTCGATCACTGACACATAAAAAAATGTTTCATCTCATTTCGAAACCAAATTAAACCTTTTATTACACTCTACATTCCTAAAACCGCCCACACTGCCGTACAGTCATCTCCTCTCCATCCTTTAGTCAAGCTTTTCGCCTCCTCTTTTCCTTCAACACAATCTGATCTCTGCCAACTGAGTCAGAGTGGAAACTGTCCGTCTCTGCCAGCGGTTTCACAGTTTCGCTCTGACACACTGGCAGAGGAGGAAGGTGGGAGGAGCGGACAAGAAAGGGAACAATTAAGGAACAAAAAGCTGGATCTGGTATGCAGGAAGTCCAGGGTTTCGCTTTTTGTCTCACACTCAGGATCTTTGAGGGACAAATGAAGCAGACATCAACCACAGACTGTATAAAAAATAAACGTAGCCATACATTGGTTAATTAACAGCCTTTAAGAAGTCCCAGGTTTGACATCTGGCTGCTAACAACTCTTTTTTTTTTAAATCAAAAGTGACCATATTTATGATGAAGATGAAGCTGGAGAGGAGCAAGGGTTCAGCAAACACTAAGTTACCAAAGCTAAACAAGCTGTGCCCGTTGCTAATTTATTGAATTACAAATGAGCGTTTGCAAAAGAATAAGGTTTTAATTATGTGGTACCTGACTGAACTTGTTTTATACCTTTTCTGGACAGAAGTAGAAGCTGAGAGCTCTGAATGACACAAACCAGATAACTTAAAGAACCATCTTTACTTCACAGAAAGCCCGCTATCTTTTCTTTGGGAGAATCCATCAACAATTATGACTCTCATACACAGGCAGCCACAAAAAACTAAAGGTATTCCAAACACCGAACGAGCTCACAAGCCAGGTATGGTTCTCACAGACTCAGTTAGCAGCTAATTGTTGCTAACATGTAAATAAAATAAAGTTCTAATGTGACTGGTTGTTAAAAGTGGAGATCAGACTTGTTGGACGGTCTGTTGGTCCAATAAAGCTCACAGAGAGAGACAGATTATTAGTCTGATATTTATATGAACAAATCTCCAACAGCACAAACACGACCCAGAGGTTAAAGGTCAGGGACTGAATTAGCTGAGGTGACAACTAGCAGACAGCTAGCAGCTCCCACCTGTCACTCAAAGAGGCCACGCCCCCTAATTCTACATCCCTTTAAGCCTTAATATAATGTAAACAGGTGAGATGTATAAACATTCAGCCCGTACAGTTGAAGAGAGAAATGAGCTCTAGAGACCCAAACTGTTTTTATACCAGACTGTAAACATGTTTATTTTAACATGGAGCTCTATGGGGACAGACTCACTGCAGGAGACAGACTCTAGTGGACACTGCTTTCAATTTCTCAGCCTAACAGGTTTCCGTCTGATATCAACTTCCCCCCTTGGTGAATTTTCCAAAAAAGATTTTTACTTATTTTGGCAGATAAAGCTATTCAAACTCTCAGAGCATTCCTTTAACATTGTGTTAGGGGGAATTTGTGGATATAATGTTGAAACAAAGTGGGGTTCGGGCAGAGGTGGTCCGCACAGATTAAGGTCTGCTTGTTTGAGTGTGTGTGTCAGGAGACCAGCACGTCCTCGGGGTCCTGTCATTAGTCCTGAGGTTCTCAGAGAACGAAGAGAGAACAACGGACCTCCTGCAAAAACAACTTGTGCTTTTCATTACCTCATTCAAACAGCACACACACAACCACACACAGACACATCCACTGGGACGGCATGATGGGAAATGTAATAGCAGACCAATTAGTAGCTAATGTGTTTAGTGTCAGTTTAGTGGAGCGGAACGGGACAGGATGTGATGTCAGAGAGAGGGGCCGTGTGGGGACACAGATGGGGGCTGAAACACTGGACAGGATGAAAAAGAGACTGTGCTGTTTAAAGTCTCGTTCAGACTTCACATTGACATCTTCCATGAGTGTCTGTCTGACCCTAAACTCCTCCATCATGTCCAGCACCCGGCTGGTTGATGAAAGGGTCATTTAAGTTTCACGTCTTTTACAGAGAGTGGAAACAGAACACTGACCTGATGCATTTTATCCTTCATTTAGAGCGACGTGCAAGAGACACAGTGGCAGAGGTTTTAAAGTAAACTAAAGCTTTAGCTCTCTATTAAGTGACTTCTCAAACAAATCAATCATCAGTTAGCTTAGGAAGTTTGAGAAAAACACTTGAACGCTTTAGAAGATAGAAGAATTGCAACAAATGACTTCAGGGCGGTTTAAATATGAGCTGAAAGAGAGACATGAAAGGAGAGAGTCCTACTTGGTTAAATGGTGTTAGGAAACACTCAGAAAACTGTTCAAATTGAGCAAAAAAAATTTGAAATGAGTCTGCAGTTAAGTGAGGTTGGTTTGCTGAGTGTGGCTAGCGTTAGCAGTGCGATGACTGCCGTCCACATGCTTGTGCTGAATGTTGTTACACATTGCTCTGGTCAGTATGCGACTTTAATCTGACACAGCCTACAGACATTTTTATCCCAATTTTCTGGGAACAAACTGCTCTGCTCCTACGAGATGCTATCTTTTCCCTGTGCTTGTTTACATCCAGGTAGAGGAGCGAGGAGAGCAGGCTCATTAACCACAGCTAAAGACAGTCTACCGATAGTGGCACTTTGAGGAAAAAATTTGACCAGCATCGTGTCAACATATCGATTTCTTCCGACCTGAGAGCTCACACTTTACGACTCAATCATTTAGGGTCTCGACCAAAGCTTGCAGAGCCGGAGAGCTCTCTCTCTCTCGCTCTCGCTCTCTCTCTCGCTCTCTCTCTCGCTCGCGCTCTCTCTCTCTCTCTCTCTCTCTCTCTCTCTCAAAATGTACCAGTGTATGTCCGGCTTTAGTCATGGCTCGATAAGAGGCCTTATGCAAACATAACCTGTCATCAAAACGTCACACACACATCTGTAAACGCATGCATTTAAACAGAATGAATGACTTCATATCTGTTCCTTGGTGCATTTTGTCTGTTTATTACACAAACTCCTTACTGAGGTGTGGAGGGATGGAGGCACATAATAATATGAAATAACATGCTTACAAATAATATTTATATAAGGTTTTTCTCTTTCACATGCTGCAGCTGCGTTGTGCTCATCTATTCTGGGTTTGTTCCAGGAGCATTTGATGAGGAGGACAGATTACACAGAACATAATATATATTTACATGAACTCCAAAACATATATAGTATAGTTCAAAATCTCATTTCTATAATCTGTCCTATATTGTGGCCTATTTTGGGAGTGTACTGAAACCACTAAGAGCAGCGTGCTCTCCTCCCGTCCTGCTGTGTGTGTTGCTGCAGTACGGAGTGGTCGCTCTGTTTGGGTGGCTTGACACACACACAGACCGTGTGGGAAGTCAGAGGGTCCAGATCTGGTTCCGTGGGAAATTTGCAAATGTTTTAACAAGGGTCGAGGGGAGTGAGGGGGATTGTGAAAGAGCCGGTCTGAGAGAGCAGCCAATTAATTGGATCCATATTAAGATAAGGTCGCCTGGGGAGCTGTTGGACGACACTAATGCTTTTAAAAAAACGGGAGTCTGAGCCGAGAGAGATAAGGCCAGTGAACCTCAGGAGACTCAACTCTTCACTGCAAAAACACTGAACCAAATGTGGACAGGACATTTAATTTATCCGCTCGTTAAGTCAGACGCTTTGAGAACACTCTGACAAAAACAGGCCAACACAAAGACTCAATCTACTTGATTGCTATAGTTCCACCTCATGTTCCCACCTCGGATAAAGTTAGTTTTAGCGCTCACAAAAGGTTGCACTAACTTCACCTCTGCCTCGTTTCTGCAAGAAGCACAAAAGCAGCTCTGCATAACGAGCTTAACGAAAGAAAAAAATCTGTCTCATATGGATTAAATGTGAGTCAAATTAAACTATAAAAGGATCAAAGAGGTGTGAAAAGTCATGGCAGGGGCTAAAGTATGTGTGTGTGTGTGTGTGTGTGTGTGTGTGTGTGTGTGTGTGTGTGTGTGTGTGTGTCACAGGATTAAGCAACAACAGCTCACCTTTCCACCGTGGCTGCAGCCTCCTCCAGCTGGTTCAGGAGGAACGGATAGAGGGCGGGGAAACGGGTGAAAAACTCTCGACCGGTCATCCTGAAGATGGTGAGACAGAAGAAGAGATGGAGAGCATTCATTTTTAAACAGACACTTCAGAGAAAAGCTCCACTCTTTAAAGTAGAGTGCACCATTGTTTCCCAATCTCATTTTGTTGGACTCTCCGGGCTCAGTTGTTCATTTTTGGTGGATAAGAGAACAAAAATAACTTTTAGAGCCTAGAGAACGTGATTTACAAAACGTTCAGATCCTGTGTCCTGTTTAAACTCTGAACATAACAACACTGAGTATGTTTACTGCATCATGTGCCATCACTGGCATGGTCATTTGTGTTTGTGCGGATGTGCTCACACACACATAACACGAAAATAAAATGATTTTTATTTTTAAGCCGGCGGTGCTGCTGCTGCGACCGCCATTCAGCCTCAAGGTCAATAAAGTTTTATTTAACTCTGAGCTTGTAAATCAAGTCTCTGCTACAGGGGAGAGGTCTGCACTGCCATGAAAGACCATCACGAGACCACACACACACACACACACACACACACACACACACACACACACACACACACACACACACACACACACACACACACACACACACACACACACACACACACACACACACACACACACTCCCAGAATCGAAACTCCGAACTTATGCTAACAGGCTCTGTGGAGAAAGATCAACTTCAAACTGATATGGATGAAGGGGATTTTGAAGGTCTTGTGCTCGAATCGGATGTTCGTGGCTATTTCTACGAGCTGCAATATAGAGACGAACAGTTGAGGCTGATAGAGGAACAGGAGGCGGCAGCCGAGGCTCAAGACCCGTTGGGGGTCAACAACAACTCCCGCTGGGATCGGGCCAGTCTTTCATTCATGTCTCTGTCAAGAAGGCACCAACTTAAACATTTATTTCACATTTCTACTACATACATGACCCACATTCAATACAGATTCATGTTTCAACCGGTGAAGTATCCCTTTAAGTATAGTAGGATTTAGAAGTTTGTTTTTCTTTTTGTTTCCGTTAAAGATCAGGTCATATGTTAAGAAAAGGAGGAGGGGAGGGGAGAGGAGAGGAGAAGAGAGGAGAGGAGATTTTTATGTACAGCAGCACATGCAGAGTAGAGTGAGGAGTCAACACAGGCCGGCGATAAATCTGGAGACTCTGGTAGGAATGCTGAGAGCAATCTTCGCTGTCAACTTTGTTTAAAGTTGCATTTATCTCAGCAACGTTATCTGATCTCAGAGCAGAGCAGCCCGAGTCTGATCCACAAGCAAACAATACGTCTGGATTCAAGTAACATGTAAAACACACAGCTGTGATTCCCACAGACAGCGAGGAGCGACGTCTCCACACACACACACACACACACACACACACACACACACACACACACACACACACACACACACACACACACACACACACACACACACACACACACACACACACACACACACACACACACACACACACACACACACACACACACACACACACACACACACACACACACACACACACACACACACACACACACCGCTGTGAGTAAACGGTTTGTGTGAGGGACACACAAGCACATGTAAGCACGCATACACAAACACACACACACACACACACACACACACACACACACACAGCTCTGTTACAACTTCAGTACAACACAAAGAGACAAGAGGATGACTTTGTTTTCATAATATCATCCCTAACATTGAACCCGTCGGCCTCTCTGTAGGTTAGATTTTTTGCTTAATGTGATGTCATTTCTTGAAGTATCCATACATGTTTCACATCCTTAAATTCTGCATAAACTAAAACAATACGTAAGACTTTCCAAAAATATGGAAAATAAAATAAAAAATGAAATGCTGTCAACATTTGAAAATACAGAACTGTTTTGGAACATTGAAATTAGGGAAGAAAATTACTTTCTGAAAGTAATGAACAATTATACGTATAAAAGTGGAATCCTCCCCGCAGACGCCACACAGAAACAGATTTAATGATCAGCGTGATTACCTAATAGATCAACGCTCTGAAACATCAGCATCCTAACCTAGTTGTGTTGATATAACCTATTGATGGCTGGAGTGATTTTCTCCAGGAGGTGGGGAGGAGGTGGGGAGGAGATTTCTCAGCGAGCTGTTAGCTTGATGCTAACACATAATGGAAATTTCCTTTAATGGCTAACAAATTTAGCATTGAAATCATAGAAATTTTTACTTTAGAAACCATCGATTAAGAAAGGTTAACTTTGTTTCCTTTTTTTTTTTCCAGGTGCATTTTTGGGATTGTATGCCTTTAATTGACAGTGGACAGAGCAGGAACCGAGAGAGAGCGGGGAATGTTATGCAGGAAAAAAGCCACAGGCTGGACTTGAACCTGTGCGGCCAGCTTAGGCCCCGTGGCCACCTAGCATTTTTGCTGGGCAGAAAAGCGCTGGCTGTATGTTCGGGAGTGTCTGCATGAAGGGTTTGAGAGGAAAAGTGCTGCACGTCCCTCCTGTCTCTATGACAACAGTCTGTTGACAACGGCCGCTGTGTGACCCACACTGCTCCGTTACTTTTTACTGCATGTTTTAAAGTTGAGATCTTTTATTTCCCGATCAGACACGGAGCGAGGAGGATGTGGGTGCAAGACACGATCTGTAGGAGGCTAAAATACAGAGAATGTCATACATTTGGAAAAGAGCCCCTGTGACATCATCAGCGCCTTTTTGGAAAGTTGAAAGATTTTCAACTTGAGTGCTCAGAGCGGCCGTACAAAGGCAGAGCGCTTGTAAAAAAAGACGCTGGTCGCTGAGAATAAAGCGCGGGCACGGGGTCTAATGTCTGTAATCAAACAAGTTCTTGCTAACTGACATTAAATACTGTTCTAAAAGGTCTGATGGTTTAATCTGCAATATGGTTTTGCTTTTATGTTATTGTAGTATTTTCTGCTTGCTTTCTGCTTTTCTGTAGTAATCACTGCTTGTCTTATAGTATTTTCAAAGGCTTCATGTCCTACTATACAATCGTAATATTATCTAAATGTTCTCTCTCCCTGTTTTAGTGTTTGTTTTAGATCTTCTCAAACACTTTTATGGAAACAACAATCTGACAGACTGATAGCAAACATCCATGTTTACTCCATGTTTCACACAACATGGAAACAATGTAATGACATCATGAACGAATATACGACAGAATGACCCTGACAGCAGAAGTCTGAGCTCTCAGCTGCAGAGAGAATAAAGACAAAAGCTTCGTTCAAGCAGGAAAAATGTTCCGTTTCCAGAAGGTCGACAGTTTGAGCAAACACTCTAAAGTGACTCCTAAATACTCTACAGCAGTGGTTCTCAAACTATGGTAGGCGTACCACCGGTGGTATGTGGGTTCCTGGTACAAAATCTCCACAATATAAAAAACAAACCTGTTCAGCATAAAACGACATTTTCTTTTTTGTCATACTCTTATGTCATCTGTCTTGTATCTATTGGGTTGTATTAATATCAAATGTGTTTTTCCCTCTAAATTAATCTAGGTTTCGCAACAAACAACTTTAATCTGCTCAATTTATGCTCACACACAGACATAAACAACAACAGGACTACACCTCGCGTTTTGAAAAGTTCTGCTCGATATTCCGTTATAGTTCAGTACTGAAACAACAGCAAGCAGCTGTAGGCCTACATTAACAGATATTCTGTTATTTATTAGAGTTCAGTACACAATCAGCAGCAAGCAGCTGTACATTAACATTTTTAAAACGGAGCCAGGAGAAGCTTCAGTTTTTGATGCATGTATGGACAGTCGGACAGGACCCTCTCTCTCTCTCTCTCTCTCTTGCTCTGAAGCTGATGTGATTCTGCTCTTTTGATGTCTTAACACTCCGTAGGAGTCGAGAGGGATTTATTTTGAAAAGGCAGTTTTGCTATGTTGAACGCAGAGACTTATAATAAAGCGGCGCTGCTTGCACTGAGCCTGCAGAGCGCGCGCCTGCAGTCTCACGCACTCTCTCAGGCACGCAGCAATTTTATGAATAAATGAAAAATTAAATAAGAACAGGTCGAAAATATACTTGGGCCCAGGTATCATCTTTGTGTGGGAAACACTGGAGACTAAATATTCTCAAACAGGTTGTTGTTATAAAGTTGTCATTTTTATTGTGCTGCACTTTTTTTTTTGATTTGGGCAAATGTCAGAGTTGTGTGGAGTTTAAGTGCCAGTTCTAGCCCTTAGTAGTCCTATAGTGTGGCTGCCAACAGTCAATAATAAATAATATTCTTTTCATTAATTAATTTGCCTCTTGCGTAAAATGTGTGTTGAAATAGGCCTACAGTGTATTTTAACATCTACCATAATGGTGGTACTTGGAGAGCCAAATATGTTTGGAGGTGGTATGCAGTCTAAAAAGTTTGAGAACCACTGCTCTATAGAGATCTGATGCTACATTTCTCCGTCATTACTTTCATCTTCAATGTGAAACCAAAAGCTCAAACACGGATAATAAGACAGAAAGAGAGCAGCAGACATGAGGAGGGGGAGATCACGGTGGGGGGGGGTTAAAAACCGGAGTGGAAACAGACGAGATAAACATGAGCAGCGTCGGCTTGGTGCGAGTGTCAGGGGCCAATAGAAACACAGGAAAGAGAAGCGGGCAGAGAGGAGCCCTGTGAAACTTTAGCCTGGATTATCTGAGAGCTAACAAACCAGCGCTGAGCTCGATATAGACCTCCGAACAGATCCCTCAGAGTCCCTCAGAGTCCTGCAGCCAGACAGAACAGACTTCCATTGTTCATGTCTGATTTAAGGAGTCCTCGTCATGGGTCTCTGTCTCAGATTAAACAGCAAGATATCAAAAAGATCTGCACAAAATGTGAAACTGTTGAGACGATGATATAACATATGATTCATGAACACATAATCAACTGTGCAAATTAGCTTTGAGTTGAAGTTCCTGTCTCTCCGCGCTGTTCTCTTAATGTTTTAAACAGTCTTTATAGAAGAGGAGGACGTAGCCGACCTCACGTCATCTCTTAGTCTGCTGACTTCTCTTTTCAAGCTCTAAATGTAGCATGTTGGCACTCGCTTTTTAAAAATCGTTTTGGGAGCGAGAAGTGACCATATTTGGATGAGAGGTTGAAACTAGAGAGGAGAGCTAACAGCCTGTTTACTGCTAACGGTAGTGCTAGCTTGTTTTAGCTAAATGCATCTGTGTTTTGAGGTTACTGTGATAATAAACAGGATGATAATTTAGGCTAGCTGATATCAGGATTCAAACAAAAACAGGCAATGAAAACACAGACGAGTCCTCAGAGTGTCCTTAAGTACAACAAACACTGAAAAAGACTTTTCAAGTAACTGAGTGTGTTCATGTGGACGTGAGTATCCCGTTTATGAGTCTTATCCTGGTTTTTATCTTTTGCAGGATCTGGTGTTTACATGCACAGAGAGAAACCTGAATTTCATATCCCTGCATACATGAGATTTTCATGGTTTCTTGAATAATGCATCTTACTTGTGCAGACGTCGGTGATGTTTATTTTTTACAACACAAACCGAGGCAATTTTGAAATGAGACAGAAATGAGACCACTGTATATACATGCTACAGTATCCCGTTTTCTTTCAGAAATCTCCCGTTGGCAAAATCCTGTTTCTCAACATCGGTACATGATTTTTACATACACAAACAAAAAACTGGAGACTTAAAACCTGATAAAAACCGGGGATACTCAAGTCCGTGTAAACACACTCACTGTGGTGACGACTTGTCAATCACAGGAAGTAGCTCCTCCCTAAACTGTGCCCTGCTTTCTGATCTCTTTAGCACAGTTCAGGTAAATCACTGGTGCGTAATAAAGCTTTATTTAGGTTGCATCCCTGATACTTCATCATCATTATTATTCTGGGTTATTGAATAATCCTGTGGAGCTCGTCGTGGCGTCTCCACCTGTCGCTGCACCTACGATGGATTCAACACATCATAAAACACATGTTGAAAAAAGAAAACACCCACGTCTGCTATCTATCAGTTTCATTATCAGGTTTCCAAACACTCAGATGGATGTTTGACATGAGCTGGGAGCGCGGTATAATTTAAGACTCTTCCAGAAACCTCAGAAACAAACCCACAATTTGTCAAACAGTCTGTGAGAGCGGAGCAGAACAGCCGAGAACCCTCCGACTGAAACTGAGACATGTTCAACAGATTCCTCCACCTCACTTCATCGTATCAACATCCAATCCTCCAAAGTGAGATATCAGCCAACTGACAGCTTCTCAGGCGCAGTTGTTATTGTTAGAACATTTGTAGGTTAGTGGCTTTTTATGCCGCACACGTTTCTGCTAATCACAACACTTCAATCTGAAAATGTGTCAGCGTATGAGCAGCCTCTGAAAGTCCATCTGAATCATCAAAAGTACCCAGAGGGGTTCATTTTTATCGTTTTGATTAACCTTCAGCAAACCCCGAGAAGAAGGTGAAGATGACAAAGACGAAGAAACGACAGAGAAAACAAAGAAGACAAAGAAGAAAACAAAGAAGAAGACAAAGATGAAGGGGATGAAGAAGAACACACATAGAGTGAAGATGAAGACAAATAATAATAAGATGATGAAGCAGACAAATGAGACTAAGCAGACATAAAGGAAAACAAAAAAAGAAGATGAGGATGAAAAAGAAGAGGAAGCAGAGGAGGAAGAAGATGGAGATGAAGATGGAGAGGGATAAGAAGAACCAGATGATGGAGACGATAACAAAGAAAACAAAGAAGTAGGAGAAGAAGAAGCAGAAGAGGATGAAGACGAAAAAGAAGATAATAAAGAAGACGATGAAGGTGAGAAAGACGATGGAGAGAGAGAGGACAAAGAAGCAAAAGAACTAGATGTCAATGTCGATGAAGACAAAAAGTAGAAGATGAAGGAGAAGACAACAAAGAAGACAACAAACAAAGCAAAGAAGACAGATTGTGCAGCCAGCCTCAGGTGGACACTTGAGGAACTGCAGTTTTTTGCTCAGCCTGATATGACATAGATAAGATATCTCTGTAAATAACCTTGTTAATAGGTACATTTTGTATTGTTGTAGAGTCTCATTGATAGATTTATTTATATACATTTTTTCTCTGATCTAATGCCAGTCAAATTTGTATTTTGATTGGTGTCATTGCCTTCATATATAATATGTACATGTTACTACTGATGATTGTGAGACACTTCTAGTCTAAACTTTAGTCTAGACTAAATCTCTCACACATGAGCACATGAAGTAGGCGGAGCTTTGTCTTCTTAAGATCATGGCAGGATTGTTTGAGAACGCACTTGACTAAGGTCAAGGTGACGAAACGTTGAGATTTGTTTATAATAAATTGGTGATGCCGAGCAGGAGTAGTGCAAACACCTCCTTAAACACACTCAGACCAGAACATTCTCAAACTGTGAGCATGTTTGTTTACAGTTCTGATCTTGTGTTCAGATGAATCATCATCAGTAAACACGTGGAGCTTTGTGAATGAAGGTTTGTTTCTGATCACATTTTCACATCTGCAACAATGATCTGCACTTTTATTGGAGCCTTATTCATTGCAGCTGACAAGAGCAGCACTGACAGGAAGGACCTTGTTTCATTGACGATAAATCATTGATGCTGTGTGTGTGTTTCTGTTCCTCTCTCTCTTTATGCCTCTCTCATAGTTTGTGGATGTAGGTCTGAACTTTTGTAGTATGAGAAGAACAGTCAGAGCGGACTGAGAACTGCTACTGTGATGTTACACCAGCACCCCCTGGTGGTGTCAAACAGCCACTGATTAAACACGTGGTTTAGAGCAGTGGTTCTCAACAGGTCTAGCCTCAGGACCCACCATCAACTCCTTGATAAGAAATTGCCACCAAAAATTTCAGATACTTTTCAACCTATGATATTTGTTTTATGAAAAACTGTGCAGTTTGGACCTCAGACTGTACAACACATGTGACAGAACAAAGAGATCACACAAAAGACATTTTTTAAAAGGGATTTTTAGACTTTTTGACCACTTGAGAATCAGTGGTTTAAAGTACTTAAAGTATGTGTTTTTCTAAATTGATTGCTTTGTTATACATTTCATATTTTTTGAAGATATAGCTAAGTATTATATTCAGTGTTAGGCAGTCATAAATAACAACATTCTTAAAGCAAATGACAAAAAAGTGTTGAGAGTCAGGATGAATATGACCACGTTAAAGATGACTGACACTTTTGGCTGCAACCGAAAAAGGTGGAATTACCTCAACCTGCAGGATGTACCTGATTTCTTCATATTAAGTATTCAATATGAGCTACATTTGACCTATTTATGCACAGGTCACTGCGTCTTTTGGCGAACATGACTGGTAACCACTGATTCTCGTTGTGCTTTGATGCACATGACAGTGAAGTGGATCTGTGAGAGAGCAAGGAGCAGCAGACCTGTTCTTCTTCGAGTGCTCGTCCTTCCCCTTCTTCACTCCAAAGATCCTCGTGATCAGAGTGCTGAAGAGCAGCGTGGATGAGTTCCTCACCTGGAAAAGGAAACAACAAAAACACAGCAGTGAGGGAGGAGGGCAGAGAGTAAGAGACGGTAAAAAGAAAACAGAGCAAACCATCGCTTCAGAAAGAGGATGAATCAGATACTCTGGTCGGCTCTGTTCACTTCTGCTGCTGCAAACTAAAATGTCAGTTGAGTTGTGTCCGAGTGAGCACAGAGCTGCAGCTCATGAGAGATGTGATTTAGTCATTTGGGTTTGGAGAGTGCAACATGCACTCCAGTTGATGTACATTCAGGGTTTTAAACTCAAACAGGTACTCAGAGAAAAGAAAAAGAGTTGTTGAGACTCACCGCCCACACAGGAGAGGTGAAGCCGAGCACAGCGGCCTGCAGACCCTCCGAGACGAAGGGAATTATGTTTTCTCCCAGACGAGTGTCTCTGTACAGAGCTCGCAGGATGTTCAGAGCGTGGACCTGAGGGAGTCAACATCAGCTCTGTTACATTTTCAATAAAACGACCATGAAGGAAACTATGTGTCTGTTCAAAACAACAGCTCACTGTTGTTTTGAACAATTAACAAAACATTTACACAACTTCTACACGTGATCTAGAGAGGAGTCATTGGATTTTACAGCGACGGTAAGAAAAAAATATATTAGGACGTCTCCTCCTGGGTTTGGGAAGTCGATGATGAGCTTTCTTTTTATCACTCTTTGACATTTTGAAGACCAAACGATAAACGATGAATTCATGTGGAAATAACCAGCAGATTCTTGGATAAGCAAAATAATAAACGACTAGAGCAGTGGTTCTCAAACTTTTTAGACTGCGTACCACCCCTGAAAATATTTGGCATAACTCCAAGTACCACCATTATGGTAGATGTTAAAATACACTGTAGGCCTATTTCTATACACATTTTACGCAAGAGGCAAATTAATTAATGAAAAGAATATTATTTATTATTGACTGTTGGCAGCCACACTATAGGACTACTAAGGGCTAGAACTGGCACTTAAACTCCACACAACTCTGACATTTGCCCAAATCAAAAAAAAAGTGCAGAACAATAAAAATGACAACTTTATACCAACAACCTGTTTGAGAATATTTAGTCTCCAGTGTTTCCCACACAAAGACGATAACTGGTCCCAAGTATATTTCCAACCTGTTCTTATTTAATTTTTCATTTATTCATAAAATTGCTGCGTGCCTGAGAGAGCGAGAGGGAGCGGGGGAGAGAGAGAGCGCGAGAGAGTGCAGGCGCGCGCTCCGCAGGCTCTGTGCAACCAGAGCCGCTGTATTATAAGTCTCTGCGTTCAACATCCCTCTCAACTCCTGAGGAGTGTTAACACTAGAACCGCCAAGACCGTGTGACGGACGGTTTGGATTTTTATAATACAAATAACTATTTTTAAATAAAAACTACGAGCCTCTCATCCTATGACTTTTCTTAAATATGTGTCTGTATGTTTTTGAAGCCTATGTGTGACTAAAATAAAACACACAAGATTTCTGAGCATTTATACCTCTAACCACCGCCGCCTTCATATTGACAGCAGTTGAAAATGATACATTTCCCTGGATTATTTTTGTGCGTCGTTTTAATTTGTATTAGTTATTGTTTCTATTTATAGACTTCATATATATGCGCAGGAATTTAACAAAGAGTGACAGATAGATAGGATATACAAATAGACAGATAGATACATGCTCATTCTTGAGCCGGCAAAGGAACAGAGAAAGGAACACCTGCGTGTCAAGGCCAGTCTGACGTCGGTGCCCGTGGAGCCACAACATCCACAAGAGCTGAGAAGGAGGCAGTGTAAGAGAAACACGCACTGCAAGAAAAATATGACCATTGTCTCCTGCAAGGGGTGCAAGCGCCCTGTGAGTGGGAAGTGCACCGCAAAGGTTGAGCACTTTTGCCGCAGGTCTGTGCATTACGTGCCGCGGCGCTGTCCAAGGTGCTGATCGTTTATTTTTTCATCTGTTTGTTTGTTCGCCACTGCATCTGTTATGGATTTCTGCAGTTCTTTTTGTAGGCTATATAGTTTGTCATGCCCATAGATAGCCGTGTTTTTGGTGTGCGTGTGTTTTGGTCAATGATTTCCTCTATGTTGGGGAAACAAACCCAGTTGCAGAGAGGAGGAGGAGCATCGGTGTTTATCTCTTTTTTTTGCAGGGTTTTTATTAAAATGCATAGCCCAATATAGCCAACAATATAATAGACTAAAAGTTCTGTATGTTTAATTTTTTTTAGCAATTTTTTTTGAATTTTTTTGTGTTTTAGCAACAAGAGACGTGGAGCAGCAGTAAAAAACGGCGCACTAAAAAAGCCGACAGATATTGTAAATTAACATGCAACATTTAAAAGGTTACCAATCCTGCTTTATGCTGATAGTCTATTTGGTTTGTAGATAAAAGTAAGTTGTATTTAACTTCATCAAAAAAATGCATTATTTGTGTGCTTCTGAGCACAAACAATTACATTTGTATAAGCCGTCTGAAAGACGGCTGCGGCGCTTGGAGGGGGGTCTAGACTGTTGGTGGTCCAAGTGTTAAGACAGCAAAATAGAGCAGAATCACATCAGCTTCAGAGCAAGAGAGAGAGAGAGAGAGGGTGAGCGACTGTCCGCACATGCATCAAAAAGTGAAGCTTCTCCTGGCTCCGTTATGTACAGCTGCTTGCTGTTGTTTCAGTACGGAAATAAAAACGGAATATCGAGCGGAACTTTTCAAAACGCGAGGTGTACTCCTGTTGTTGTTTATGTTTGTGTGTGAGCATAAATTGAGCAGATTAAAGTTGTTTGTTGCAAAAACTAGATTAATTTAGAGGGGAAAACACATTTGATATTAATACAACCCAATAGATACAAGCTAGATAAGGTAAGAGTGTGACAATAATAAAAAATGTTGTTTTATGCTGAACAGGTTTTTTTTTTTATATTGTGGAGATTTCTTTGCGTACCACCACAGGGAGTCCGCGTACCACCGGTGGTACGCATACCATAGTTTGAGAACCACTTGACTAGAGCATCACTGCTTTTCTCTAGATGACAGTTTAATACATTTCCTGCGTTGTCCAACCTGAGGGACGGTGGAAGTGTCTGTGTTTCTGTCTGCAGACGGCATGGCGAGCGCGATCAGCTCCCTCATGGTCATCTTCAGCAGGCTGCAGCTCGACGACTTTGGTTCAGAGAGAGGAGAGCCTGAAGGGGAACAAACACACAAACAGAGTCAGTGTGTAGAACAACAAGAGTCAAAATGTCCCAACGTGTTTACAACAGAAAAACATGTCAGACATATTATCTCTACTTCAGTGGATTTGGAATTGGATAATAAAACTCAGACAATGTAATGCTCTGGCAGACTCTTACAGCAACAACATGCAGCACTTTCTAACATATGTGTCCCTAGTCTGTCTACAAACCCCCCAATGATGAGAAAAGTCCTCTCCGTCTTTTGCCTGCTCCACTTTTCAGAAAATGTGTGCTCCAACAGGCCGTTTGGACATTTTCCCTTCATGACATCACAAAGGGCAGTAACCCCTCCCCCAGGTGGGTGACACTCCCACAGCTAGGTGTTTGTTCTGCTCTCTGAGTCTGCCTTCTCACCGTAAACAATAGGACATGGAGCAAGAAATGACCGAGACAGCCAAGCCCTTCCAGAGAGGGGGCGTGGTCAGACACAAGCTCATCTACATATTTAAAGGTACAGACACAGAAACAGTCTGTTCTGAGCAGGGCTGAAATAGAGGGCTTTATAGACATGATCAAATAAAGGATCAGAGTGGATTTAGAACAAGAAACTTCACACATGTTTTGAGGAGCTCTGAGACTTATTTAAACTAGTTGAAGAGGAGGAGAATATGTGACCTTTAAAACCATAAATGCAACGATTGACAGCTTGTTTAAAAATGTGCTTTCTGCGGAGCTGTGTAATCTGTTAAGGCAGAGTACAGCAGACACAATGACAGAAAACATTCAGATATTCACATTAATTTATTTCTTGATACACTGCCACAGGTATTCATTGCTTTTGTGGTATCAATATGTCAATACAATTAATATTATTCTCAATTTCTGGAAAACACTTTTAAATATTCCTGTTTGTGCAGTTTGGCACATGTGTGTGATGCATTAAATAACACGCCTCATTTCAAAGGTAGGTTCTGTAAATATGCAGTATAAGCCTCCATGCCAGATATCACTGAAACTAAACTAATGCATGCCCCTCACTGTTACCAGAGGTTTTCAATCACATAACACACATTCGACTGTAAAACAGCAGTACACATGCATACGTTTATGTCTGATATCTTCACTGAGTGACATCATCTTTATGCTCCAGGAGACGGAGGAGGAGGAATGATGTTGCTGAAGGAGCTGATGGGAGCCAGCTGTGTGTCTGTGTTTTGGTTCAGACGTTAGCTTTGTGAGGGAGAGATAGAGGAGGAGGGGGAAGAGGGGGGAGGCAGAGTGGCTGGAGGAGGTCTAGCCTTGTTCTTGTGAAGTCTGTCCCATGTGGATCGAGACCAGCATGGGGGGGGGGGGGGGGGGGGGCAGGAGGCAGCGTTCCCGGATCTGACTCTCTTTCTGTCTTTCTGTGTGAAGGAATGCAGCCGGACGCTCTGCCAAGGTGTCGACCTCAAACTTCTGCCAGACTTCCTCCACTCCCCCTTCTTTTCTCCTTCATCCTTATCTTCTCTGTCTCCTTTCAGTCTCATTTTAAAGGAAAATTCTGCAGATTTTTAACCCCATACCAATCTTTAGCAGTTTTCAAATATGCACTCCTGAAAATTTCAGGAGGGCTAGACCTCACACCTGCACCTCACAGACTTTCCCTATTTGATGGGAGGGGAGTTTCAGGAGGTAAGTCATTGCTGAAGTGCCGCAGGAACCAACAGATTCTGATGACATAATTATTTATATCAATGCTATGTGTTACTTGACATTCAGTGCTTTCAAACTTGCACAAACCTCCTGAAATTTGTAGAAGGAGCTGCATGTGTGAATGCAAACAGCTACATTTTTCACCCGGCCTTTATCTGGAGTTTCCATGACCATTTCCTTAAACATTTATTATATAAGGAGAAAACATTCCACATTCCCCTGACCGTGGTGAACCTAAATTCAAAGATGTGAGAACTTTCTTTTTTTTGAAACAGCAGCAGAGTCAGTGATGTCAGCAAATTACCACTGTGATAAAACACAAACTGTCAAGCTTTAATATTAGTATTCTGTGTGTGTGTGTGTGTGTGTGTGTGTGTGTGTGTGTGTGGGTCCGGTGTGGGGGGTATAAGGGAGTGAATAACACCCTGAGTCAGTCAGGTGGTTGGAGACGTTAGATACAGATTACAACACACTGCTGGAGGTGTGCAGGACAGATGACTACTGAGGAGGTCAACCAGAAGACAGTCTGTGCGTCTGTGTCTGTGTGTGTGCGTCCGTGTGTGTCTGTGTCTGTGCGTCCGTGTGTGTGTGTGTGTGTGTGTGTGTGTGAGTGTAATGAGTGTCCGTGTAAGTAATAAAAAAACTTAATGGATTAAGAAACTCAGTGTTCTTCCAGCATGAGTGCTTCAGTGGCATGCCAAGAACTGCTGATTACACTACTGTAAAAGGTAAACACACGCACACACATACACGCACACACCTGAAGAAGAGCTCTCATTTGAAACATCATCGGCTTCTTAACAACACTTGAAACCGAAACCTTCCAAGAACCCTTCTGATGCTTCGTAGCTCCTGTAGTTCTGTTTATATTCTGAAACGATGACACACCTGGATGTAGAACGGTATTCCAGCGCTGCGACGTGTGGCACACAGCTTGGACGACGGGTCGCTGGATTTGACCTCCTGTAGAACCTCAGTCAGCCAGCGGGAGGGGAGCTGCTGCAGGGCCTGACTCCCACTCCTTACACACACAAAAACACGCAGAAATAATGAGTTTTTGGACATGTGCTTACACCACAGACACACCTTGGTATCGATAAATGTATCTGTGCTTTTATTCAAAAAACAACCAGGAGGGATGATACGATACAGAACCCTAACTTTTGAAACAATACTGGTAAAATTAAAATGATTGCTATACCTGTTTCGATACCATGACAACAAAACAGAAAAGTCTCAGGTACCAAATATAGGGTAATTCTTATTTAAATTACGACTGGCAGCTAAACACAGGATCATGGCATCTCCAGGGAAACAATGTCAGATCAGACCAGCCTTCAGTCCTCCCTGCATGGACTGAATGTGGTTACTCATTCGCTTTGGTTGAGATTCCACTTTTACCTGACAGAGCTTACATCTACTTCATCATACTGCAGACCCCCTCAGTGCTTTGAGATGATATGCATTATTTGAGCATGTTTACATCCGAGCAGAAGAGCGGGGAAAGACCGGCATCGAGGGCCAAACTATTGATAATTTGTATAACCACGTGGTAATTCTGGTGCTGACTAGCGAGGGTTTTGAGGTTTAACTGTGTCAGGTTTTTAATGCTCAAATCTTGATACAAAATGTTAAAATCTATACTTTCATCTGCCGAGTCTGTACATCTCTTTTCTTCAGCTGCTGACATCAAACAGGAGAAGACAAAAGCAGATAGCGCCCTCTGCTGGTTAGAGAGTATCGCAATATATTTTTCTGTCATTTAGATTTAAATTGCTCATATTTGTATGAATAATAGTAACGGGATGTATCGTTACATCCCGACACTTCTCATCAACATCTGTTTGAAATGACTTCATGTGGTATAAGACGGGTGGGGTTGATGGCGGGTTGTTGAGTTCATCAAGCAGCCTGAGGTGTCCAAAAAAAAGCAGTGCTGTAAACTATTTAAAAGTACAATTGTAACCAAGGAGATTGGTTAAAGAGACAAAACAGAGAAAGTAAAGGGGGGGGTGGAAAGATTTAAAAAGAGAACGAGCAAAAGAGAGACACGGTGAGAGAGTGCAAACACAGAGGAGCCAGCAGAGCCAGATCCCAGAGCATCAAACAGCCGTGGTTAAACACCCCGCAATCAACACCCCATAACCCAGCACACGGCCTGCATACCATCTACACACTGAAAACACACACACACACACACGAGCTCCGAGCAGGACACACACACTCCCAGTTCTCCCACACACAACCACCAGAATGTCGCCCTCGTTACACAACATGCTGCCAGACTGCTTTCTGTACGAGAACAAAACAGGAGAGTTTTGTTTTAACAGCGCTGGGTGGTTCAAAGTCAACATTGTCGGGTTTGTGGTTTGTCACCTGCCGCAGGGCCAAATCATCCTCCACAGCCCACCGCTGAGGAGAGCAGGGAGGGATGACAGGGTGAGGAATTCTTGTGTGTTGTTCAGAATTAATAGATGGTTTGTTTCCTCCCCTCAGTAGGATCATTGTGGAGTTATTTCCAGGAGTTGCAGAGGACAGGAGTTGTATGAGACTTGTTTAAAAATGGGTCTTTCAGTGGCGCTGATGGCCTAGCTGTTAGGTTGTGCTCCATATACAGTCCTCTAGTGAGGCAGCGTGGGTTGAAGTCCGATCTGCAGCTCCTTTCCTGCATGTCTCCCCCCCCCCCCTCTGATTTCCTACTCTGTCCCCTCAAAATAAAGTGCCACTTTCAGCTTTTGCTCCTTGTGATAACATCTTAAAGATGATTTACTTTCTTATTCTACTAAATGTCCTCCTGCAGCTCTCCTGGCTGCTCATGAGATAAATGATTATTAACACACATCATTACGTCTTGATGTAATCACATACTTCCACCTGAGGAGTGACACTAAGAGGACACGGCCACCTGCTAACAAGAAGGCAAACCAACACTCAGTACAGCTATTCAGCAGTGTTACCTTTCAGCCCCTCTGCCCTGAATGTGAACACACACAAAAACACACACACACACCTGCACAGCATCTCGGTGAGGCGCACAAAGCCCACATAAGCCAGTTCAAAGGCTCCACGATGACGAGACTGCAGCAGCTGCTGACGGAAGTACAAGCCGACCCCCTCCACCTGCAGACACACAGAGAGAGAGAGAGAGAGAGAGAGACTTCAGAGAGTGTATTTGTGTGTGTGTGTGTGTGTGTGTGTGTGAGAGAGAATTAATTGAACATAAGGGTCAAAATAAAATCACAGCATTCAGATCAGTTATTTGATGGGTTATTCTGAACATGTGAAGAGAGCAGACAGGGAGCAGTGAGTAAGTGAAGACGGGCGCTACGGTTGTTTAAAATTCTTCCTGAACTTAATCAAAAGAGCAAAAATGATTTAACAGGCTGATTTGGGAGTAGCACAGATTATATCGGTAGCTGTGTTTATTATTGGTGCATCTGATTACAAACCTTTGGTTCGGATCAAAACGCTGACCTTTTTGTCAAAAATGATATATATACATTTTATTATTTAACTTTTCTCCTTAGGTAGCATTCATGGAGCTGCATCTCCAATTGCAGCTCCATGAATGTTCATAATGTATCACACCCTACATTTTCTTCACTGTATTCTAGGGCTTAATTTCTAATTTTAAACTAAAATGTGTCGTTTTCATTTCGAGTGATGCTTTGATTTCAGTTTGAAATATTCAATAAATAACCACAGAATAGTTCATCAGATATGCACTCTTTCATTAGAAAACACATCCCAGCTTTAATAGACGAGCATATTTACAGTAGAGAGCATGACAGTGAACTATGAGGGTAGAAAACAAAAACAAAATAATAATTAATCGAAATGGAGGTAAAAAGTTCAATTATTCATGATACTGATTAAAGGTTTAAAAATCTGAGAACTGACATTAATATAAAAACAGAATAATTTCAATATCAGTATCTGTTATCCTCAATCAGGGACATCAATGACAATGACTAGCTTTCTGCAGCGTTTTGTTTTAGACATTAAATATTCTTCTTCCACTGAAACCACCACAGCAGATTGTGCAAAAAGAAAAGTGCTTAACTGTGTAATCTAATCCCTCTTCAGACTGTTTCGCTTGTGTGTTTCAGAGACGTCGCTCGGTTTGCAGCCAGTGAGCATGGAGCTCACGCAGCGTGAGAGCAGCATGTCAGTAGCGTGACAAATGTGTTCAAATGAGGATGCTGAGACATCCACATAATGGCCACCGTCAGAAAAACCAACCAGTTAGTAATAGTGTTAGCGACATTATTCTAACTATACACACATACAAACACACACGCTGTGGCAGAGTGTAAACTGGTGAGTGTGCAGCAGGTGAGGCGGCAGGGCGAGGCGGACGCTGAGCTGCACTGCCCTGTCATTACAGCTGTGGCATCACCGCCACCACAGAGCGAGCAGGCCTCGACTTAGTCAGGGGTGGCACGGAGGGCACAGGGAGGGGTGGCAAGGCCCGCTGCATGATAAATAACACCCTATGTGAAAAGGAGGAAAAAAATAAAAACCAACAGCCCCTCAGGGATGTGGAGTCAGACACAACATCTAATCTGACAGAGACGCAGACCTGCAGAGGAATCAAGACAACAAGAGACCCTGTAATGTAGAGGATACTGAAAAGGTTTATAAGAGGGAGAACAGCAGCCTAAATGAATGAATGAAAATGTGTAAAATTTGTGTTTTGCCAGAAGGAGAAAAGAGAACAAAACACGCAGGGCTTATGCAGCCCGTTTCTGGCCACATGACTGCTCCTAAACTGGACTGACCCTGCAGACCCAAAGCGGACTAACTTTAACACCAAAGTACGGCCTGAGTGAACCACAGCCGCACCAAGCCCAGTGACTTATCACATTGTTGGTCGGAGCGGACTCCAGCACAGGCCTGACCTCACCGGGGTAAAAATGGCAGCGACAGTCACTGTTAGATGGCCCGTGGCTGCCGGGGCTCAGACCGCTGCGGTGCTGCGCCGGGTCGAGGCCTCGCCTATTTACGACCTCGCTCTCGAAGGTTCCCGTCTGTGTAGCTGTTTAAAAAGGGCCGAGCAAGCTTCATGCGCGGCGTGGGGGGAGGGTACCAGGGGGACTTTATTTAGATGTCAACTTCCTGTTTGCAAGCGTGACCGTTTCCCAGAAAAACTTCACTGTGCGGAGAGAGAAGTTTCCCAAGTCTAATTACATGTATGCTCGGGGCCGTGACTGTGACCCAAATAGACCAGCTCTCCCCCGAGGACGACGGTTAGACAGCGGCACGCCGACCATGTTTGTTGTTACTGTTGCTGCAATCTGCTGGAGGAAATGTCACATTTTTGTTTACAGCGTCAAGGCAATATTTGTATTACTAAAACTCATCTAAAACTACTGGAAAGTATTTAAGTACCATCGAGAATCATACGGTGTTATCACCAAGTGGCAACCTCAGCTGTTTAAGAGTGAAGCCAACGCTGAAGTGCAGAATACTGCATTTCCTTGAGTGTTGATAACATGAATGTTAATAATCATGTTAACAGCCTGAAGAAATGTTGGTCTTCATCGGCACACACTGTAACCTAGAGTGATGCAAGTTTAAAGCGTGGCTGATCTGACTGTAAGCGGGCACGTTGTAGACGTTTACCGGGGCGCGTAAGGCCCGTCTAAGCTCCACCTCCATGCCTGTTACTAGAATGACCGAAAGTCAGTTTGAGTCAGTATATCCAATATGGCGACCGCCAGCTTTGGGCTTCAGAAGTAAGTTTTAGAAACCAATGAGTGACATCACTGAGACTACATCCATGTTTTATACAATTTATGGATTACATACAGGCTCAAAACTCGTAAAAATGTCCTGGCTGAAGAGCGATTGCTGCAGGAACTATTAAGTGTGCCGGCAGGGATGGTGATGTTTATATCCTGCGATTGTTGAGCTACTGGTTCCATCTTTGTTCCAGTAATGACTCTGCTCACCAGTTTGTTCTTTTCCACTAAAAACTAGGACAAATATTAGAGATGCTTTTGAATAATGGAGAGAGGTCAGAACGCAGAAAGGTTTCAAGGTTCCCATGTGTGAATCGGCTCTAGGGAGGAGGGGGCGGGGGGAGGCAGCTCACTTTAATGTTTTCTTTCCTCCTTTAACACTCTGATGACTTCAACTCACATCATTCCCATCGAGCTGTTCCAAATAAACCCTGACTGTCAAACTCCAGCTGACCAGTGACGTTGGTGGTCTGACACACTCATAACACACGCTGTCAGGACATAATGGAACTTGTTTTTTTTGTTTTTGGTACAATCTGCAAATGTTGTCATTCCATCTCCTGTCATCATCTCAAAATCAGAAAAAGTTTAAATAAAGCGCCATCTTTGAAAAAGTCAAAAGATATTCTGGACATTGATCGGCAAAGAAAATAATGAAACGTAAAAAAACTAAAACTGTTACCATGGTGCCACCAATGACAGGAACAACTGCAGCGTTACCATGCCAACAGGGATGTAACACAGGATGCTGGCAGAGGACTGGGAGGTGTTGGACTAACACACACATTTTGGAAAGAGACACCACACACTGTTCTCATGTTTGCCAGCGGTAGGGCAGATTGACCACAACAACTCAGCCAGACCCAACTTTCCTAACACGCATTAACAACAACGCTTAATGCTAACACACACACACAAACACACACACACTAGTGTTAATGCAAACACACACACCACTATTAATGCTACAACGCACTCAGCGTTCACAGAGTGTAGAACTGATGACAGCAGATGAAAACTCGATGCGGTAAAACAGAGAGGACAGGAGTTCACATTTTCCTCAGTATGAGTTCATGTTTTCATCGGTTATGTAATAACACCCAATCGCCATAGTTACCACAGTGGACACTATGGTACCCATGACACACTCATCAATTATCTCTCAGGACACTGTGGTTATGACATCATCATTTCTGTAGTAGCTATTTTACCAAACAGATACTTCATGCAGCGGATGAACAACTGATGAAATCTTTTAATGAGGCATGAATAAAAAACTCACTGACGTACTTTAGTGCGAAACGGATCAATATACGTGTTTTGTTTACTCACTTAACCTTCATTAAAGGTCCAATCAGTAAGGTGTGTAGTGAATAAAATGATAAAGTGCCCTTACTATATGATCAGACATTAAGGAAACATGCTATGTTGAAGTGCTGGCTTCTCTAACAACAATGCAGCAGCCAGTATGTCCTCCTTCTAACTTTAGATTCTGCTCCTGAATGCTCTGGATTTGTTTGGACCAGAGGCGGTTTTAAGACACCGCCACACGGCCGTTTAGGACACCCCTCGGTTTGCCAGATATGAGAGCAGTTATCAGGTCAAACCAACAGGTGTTGCAGCGATGGAAGCGGGCAAGAGAAGTGGTTCAGATAGAAGTGAACCACAGTGAACAGCCCTCCACAATGTTTAGAATTTGGACTGCAGTACCCGTTTTAAACACTAGGAGTCAGAGTTACATATTGCTTCTTTAAACCAGGTTTATTCCAACGGGATTGAGGTAAACCTGGGGTGTCATTTCTAAAAAAAAGTGCGTTGAATCCATAATTGTAAGTACGGTAAACTGAAAGTGGCGTACATCAAAACTAATTTGATTTATATAAACATGCATATGCACACCTGTACCCTATGTTCCCATTATAAATCAAAATCCCTACAGCAGTTTGATCGGTCAAAGCCAGCTTTCGATTTGTGGGTTTAATCATCAAAATGTTGTAGGTTAAGAGCTGCTACCCTCCATCACAGACACCGAAAACACACATTCAGCACATAGCCGAGTGCGATACTTCCTACTTTCTCTCTCAGGAGTGAACATTCACAGTCAACAAGCAAACACAAACATGCCCCCCACCCCCTGTACCCCCTACACAGACAAACACAGCCTATGTCTGGCTCCCTTGTTATTATGGATGTTCACATGCTGAACCACTCAGACGACTATTCCTGTGAGTGTGTGTCCGCGCATGTGTGTGTATGTGGGAGTGTGTTGTTTGCAGCGTTCGGTGTTTTCCTGCTGGCGGTGGAAGCGATTTGGAAAGAATGCAGTGGAAAGGGAGGGGCGTCGCGGCCGTTAAACCAGCGGGGTCGGGCCTCAAATGAAAGCGCAGCGCTAACGAGGGCGGATGCTAATTGAAGAGCCTCCCAGCGTGGAGTCACAAACACACACAAACAAACACATTCATTCACATCATTCCAGCCTACAGTACGCACACACAGGACATGACACATAACGTGAAACCTGTCTACGTGTGTGGATGTAGATCAAAATAAAGATCTTAGATTTGCCCGTGTCAGGGAGATGAATATTTCAACGTCTGACTGTTGGGACAGTTCTCCATTGTGATCAAGATGGAGGCCGGCCAGGGTTTGGTCAAACTTTTGGTCGTCCTTCCTGCATGACAATTTGCATTGAAAGTCCATGACATGCAGTATCTATGCAGCTGTGTAGATCTTTCTGGTATCGTGTGGAGTTTGAACTCCTCCTAGCTTACGGCAACAGTGATAGTTGTGAAGTACAGCCTGCAATCACTTACCTAGAGTCAAACTGCCCACCTCCTCTGCTCACATGCCTTTAATTGTAATTGATTAATATGCCACTATTTTCTTTAAATTCAGTATTATGACCTCTTGAAAGATGTTAAAAAGTGGCACCCCAAAGGCCCCACATGCAAAAGAATGGGTCTGCACAATGACTGAAACAGCATCTTATGAGTGTATGCTAAACAGGCTCAGTGACAGTAGGGTGGAGGAGGGTTCTCCCTGGGACAGGTTCTGGGACTACATAAAGGTGGATGACATGCCCAAATAATTGTCAGTCTCATCCCTGATAGGATCACCATTTTGATGTATTTTTGATTCAACTCCTGATGTATTTATTTTTCTACTTTTTTATTTCTAGCCTGCTGCTGAAGTTGTTTGTGTTCACTGAATCTGTGTACTGAAGTCTGCCTCCATGAGTTGTGTAAAATAAGGGTTACTTTATCCTTGAAACTCAAGTGTGTTAATGCCATGTACCATGCCTTTGAGACTTCAATAAAAAATTTGAATTCCAACACAAAAGTGGCGTCCCCAGTCCGGTCTGTGTCATTATGAACCCCAGCACTTCGTGCTCTGTGAAGCAGACGCTTCAGTTGGTCATGGTGGCAGCAGCATGTCTCAGCATTATATACTGGTTTTTGGTCACACCAGTATATATTTTAAAATGAAAGAGTTGGTATTAAAAAGTGCATGGTTTTCCCGCTGCGCAACCATGAAAATTGAATTCACAGACTGGGACACCAATATTATGCCATCACCGAATCAATATGATGGTACCTGTGTGTGTGTGTGTGTGTGTGTGTGTGTGTGTGTGTGTGTGTGTGTGTGTGTGTTTGGTCCTTCCGTTTCTCACTTGTTCCTCTGTGATGAGTCCAGGCTGTGTGTGGGTGTTGTCACTATAATGCAAAGGCAGACTCTGACACAGCTGACCCAGCAGCATGGCCACCTCCTTCATGCTCCGCCAGCAACACACCAGCACCATCTGAGCCGTCACCCTGTAGCCCTCACCACCTGCAGCGCGCACACACACAGACACACACAGACACACACAGACACACATGGAAAAAGGGACATGGGAAAATGTTGGTCACTTTTTGGGTTACAGTATCACATAAGGGATATTTGAATGATTGTGTTGTTATGTTATGTACCGTATTAAAGCTATGTTCAGAGAAAACTAAAGGACGCATTTTCTTATTGATTGGACACACACACACTCGCGCACACACTCGCGCACACACTCGCGCAGAGTCTTGTAATCGCTCCTCAGGGTGAAAGTTCAGTAGTTTAGGTCATTTAATGGGATTCCTAGAAGTTTTGGATTGTGCACTTTAAAGACAGAAATAAAGTCAAACACTGCCCCCATCAGTGCAGAACTGGTACTGCATGCATGAACATGATAACTCACTGGTCTTGTTACAGATAAAAAGTGAGCGAGCAGAATGTAAAGTGCAAGTGCCTTCAATTTTATTTTTGCTTAATTTGAAATCAGTTTATTTTAAAACTCGTCACATCCATACATCATGCCAGACCAAAACAACCAATAAAGTCAATAAAACTTGATCAAAGCGTTGAAAGTGTTTCCTTTCTATTCTTTTATCCACAACCACACACCTGCTCCTCTCCTCTTGCTCAGTATTCTGAATCTCACCTGTGTTCAGTGTGGCCGTGTGTGTCGGAGTGTGTGTGCGATCATCTGTGCGCTGTGTGTCCAGCTCTCTGGTGCTCGTGAAGAAGTCGTTTGTGTCTCTGGGTTGAATCTCCTGCAGGATCCTCTGCAGACCGTCAGACGTCTCTGCACAAACACACACACACACACACACACACACAAACACATCATATCTATCACATATACCCGTCTGTCTTCACGGCAAACTCATGTAATCTTAACTGAACGCTTCCATCAACTCATAGTTTAATTTAGTCTTCAAAATGTCTTAATTTTCTATTTCTTTGTTTTTAATGGAGTTCAACCTGTCGCAATAACATCTTCAGAATTGAAGTTTGAAAAGAATACGTTTCAGGTTTCTATTTTGGGGTGATCATGTCAGTTTCCTTCAGTCAATGTTGATTGAAAAATTCTCAAATGTATACTTTTTTTAATATCTTTTATTGCACTAGAAGCTTTCATAGTCAGTGAAGTTCTGGGAGTTCTGTAGTTCTGGGACTAGATTAGCTGAAACCTTCAGCTAATCTTAGCTTTCAAGAATTTCTGGTTTTGGTATTTTTTTGCAAAGACATTTATATAATTTTTACTTTAAATATATTTTAGAGAAATTTATTTGATCTCAAAGTCAGACACACAACCTTATGATCAATTACATTTTCAGACCATCAAATGTTCTTCACATTTTCACATAGCCCAACATGATGTCTGTAATTAGTAGACACAGAGAGCATGACAGCTACTTTACTAAACTTTGCGGCTATTTTTAAGCCATATTAATCAGACACAGCCATAAATAAATTTAAAAATAAAATAGACATGCGGACGACCGCACATCGGAGAACAACACAGAGAACATGACAGCTACTTTGTGTCTCATATTGTGTCATGTTAGTTAGATACAGCCATGAAACTCTGGATTTCTCCATAATGAAGGCTGTCAGCGTTGTGTACCCGCGTGCTTGTGCTCATGCATGAAGTGTACCATGCTGAAGCACACCTCTCTCCAAAGTGTGCCAAAGACAAGGAAGTGTACCGTGCCTGAGCACGATACGGAGCGGTCACATTGATCTAACGAACTGGACTTTAGCGTTGAAGTGTGCTTGGGCACGGTATGGATGGCCAGTGAGACTGTGCCCTTAGATTGAGATTATCAGTCTGAGAAACCTGCAGACCTGAGTCAGTGTCCATGGGGATGAGTCCTTCAGGGGAGGAGCTCTGGACTACAGGTGAGACCACATCAGACATCCTGTAACACACAGCGATCAGCTCTGACACCAGACGTCTCCACAGCTCTGTGTGCCCCAGACTCCTAAAAACACACAAACACTCAGTTAGTGAACTGTAGAAGGTTGTTACAGGTGTGTATGTGTGTGTGTGTATGTGTGCTCACTCAGTGTTGAGATGCTGCAGGACGGCAGTGATGCAGTGTGCTCTGCCGTACAGAGGAGAGGAAGCAGCGGCCTGCAGGAGGGACGACTCGGCCCTCGAGACCTCTGACTGCAGACACTCCAACAAGAACTGAACCACTGAGGACACACAGACAACAAAACACTCACACCTGACACATATTTACACACATACATACATTTTCAGTGCTACTCATCCAGATCTTACCAGCCAGTGTGTTGAGCTCCATGATGGCTGCCTCAGACGCCTGGGAGGGCAGGGAGGGAGGCTGAAAATGGATGCCTTGCTCCTGGGCACAGAGCAGCAGAGCCTGACTCAGGTGAGGCTGGTGCAGCAGCAGGTCGAAGAGGTGAGCTGCTGTGACACTGTCGAAAGGCTTTGTGCTGGTACTGAGGTCCAGAGCAGCCCCGAGAACTCTATGCATCCTTTCTGGCACCTTAAGTCATGAGAAAGAAAACAGAACTTTAAAACATGACTATAATTATACATTTAGTATCTTAAAATGGGGAAAGGGGGTTAAGTCAGTCGCTTAATCTGGTCCTCATGGTTACCTGAAGTCCCACAGCAGACGGTGGCAGTTGCCGTAGTAACGTTGAGGCAAGTTGTTTGACTTCCAGGAAGTTGCTGGCGACACAGTAGAGGACATTCTGAGCATGTGCAGAGGTCACCACTTCACCAAGGGCGAACACATCAGCACCTTAAGAGAACAGAGAGGCGGAGAAGACAACAAGCCCGCTGAAGCATCAGAGAGAAGAGACGGGATGGATAGTGACATCCAGTATTAGATAGTTTTCCTGCTTAATCTCCAACAACTACCGTTAGTCCAACACAGTTCATCCAATGTAGTTTAAATAGATGAGATTTACTTGTTATTGATGAAGACTTTATTTTCAGGTCTGGATTTAAGAAGGCGAACATACAATCTGCAGGCTGATCTTAAAACAGTATTTTTATGTTTAAAATCTAATTTCCTTGTTCTGTGTGCTGTTTTGGCTCAGTCTGTAGAGCAGGAGCCCCGTACTCAGCCCCTGGATGTTCAACTGGAACCCCTCTGCTTGTCAAATTGTTGTTGGTTGTACCTGTGCTGAAGGTGAAGATCTGTCCCAGCTGACACAGCACGTGCAGAGACATCAGGCATTTAGAGAAGGACGCTCCAGGAAGCAAAACGTCCAACAGACTCACACACATCCAGCACAGGAACTCCTACATAACACACACACACACACACGCACACGCACACGCACACGCGCACACACGCACGATCAGTGCAAGCTCTGAGTCTGTAAACCCTGAAATGAGGGATACTCTGAATATTCTGTTTCAGTTAGGGAGTTTACTCAAACGCGAGGAAGAGAGGGAACTTCAGCTCTGAGTCTGTTACTATGGTAACTGAATCTTTGAACTTAACCTAGTCAGGTGCAGGTTTCCTTCAATGAACTCCGAGTTTCTCTCTGTCTCCTCCATTCTGTCTTTTAGTCTGTTATCATGCTTGTGTTAGGGGAGATTCCCCGTTTTCACAGGAGGCAAATGTCACCACCACGGCAAAATTGTATCAGGGGGCTGGCAGGAAATATTCTGACTAAAGTCAGACTGAAATATTTGTTTGTTTGTGATCAGACGTGCTGCTCATCCTGAAGTTTTCAGAGTCTGGTGTGAAAGAACCATGACAGACCAAAGTTTAACTTGAATCAAAGAGTCGTAGGGTTGACCTCTCGTTGTGTGTGTTTTACCTTGTAGAGGTGCATTGTGTGTTGGTCTGCGTGTCTCTGCTGCTCGTCTCTCTCCTGTATCCGTCTCTTTTGCAGCAGCACGGTGCTGTCCTTCATCCTACACAGCAGCTGGAGTCGTGACAGTTTGAATGTGATCAAATCAAATCATGACTCCAGAGATAGTTAAGACAGGTTAAGAGGTGAACAGCTGACCTTTTTCAGCAGGCTGACCGTCTGCTGTCTGATGCCCGGTGACTGACTGTTCAGATTCGGTGGCAGGAAGTGGCGGATCAGGTCCATTTCCTGTGAGGTGAGAACTTCAGTGCTGCGGTGGCACTCGCACACTAAACCCAGAGCGTCCATCCTCACCTGAACAGGAGGGTCAAAGACATATAAATACATGAAATATCAAAAAGAGAAAATCCTAAAAACACTAAATACAACATGTAGTTACAGCTAGTTTAAAAAAAAACTGATACTCGTACTAACCTCTTGAACTTTTAGGAACAAACCAGAGCCCACAGAATATATTTAATAACAAGAAATTCATAACAGAGCAAACTACAATGATCAAAACATAATTTCATGTCAGGCTGTCTCTGTAAACTCATCTCTCCTGCTGTGATTGAAGGCGGTTCAACAGCACAGTTTGAAGTACTGAACAGGCTGTTTTTTTTTTTTCTCATTTTATCCGTACAGCTTGTGTGTGTGACACGGGGAAGAGCGTCCTTAAATGAACTGATCACTTCTCCTGAAAAAACACTCATATACACCAGATGATACTCACTTGGTCATGCTTGTGTATGAGAGCTTGTTGGAGCAGGGGGAGGGGCACCAGTCCTCCCCACAGACCCTCCTCTGTGGGAGGAACCACACCCTGGGCTCTGGCCGCCCGCAGACACGTCATCAGAGCCCCCAGAGCCCCCCTGCTGCCTGAGGGAGCTGACAAGAACAACTGTGTTAAAGAAAATGAAAAGGAACCTAGGGGAAGGTTTTGATTTTCAGCAATCATTCCACAACAGAAGTGAGGAAGGCTTTTCAAAATGTCGCTACTTCAAACTTTTGGAGACCATATCTTAAGACGATACGATCAGTTATTTTAATGATCAAGCGGGCGGCCCAGGTTCGAATCCAGCCTGTGGCTCCTTTCCCGCATGTCATTCCCCACTCTCTCTCCCTGATTTCCAGCTCTATCCACTGTCCTATCTCTACATTAAAGGCACAAAAAGCCCGAAAATAAATCTTTAAAAAAAAAGATCAAAATAATGAATTTAAAAAAGTACAGAATCTTAAAAAAAATAAATAAATACAGATCGTCTGTCAAATTTTAAATCATAAGAGTAGCGAGAACCTCTGGTCCACTGGCGCCCCAGGACTTCGATTTCTGTTGTCATGGTGACGACACAGGTATCAATATCATTCGATTTTTACCTAACTCATAATGAGTTTTAAAAATCTCCTAATAAATTTAAAGAACAACGGGGAAGAAGATGTGATGTGAAGGTGTTTGTGATCTCTGTGGTCACCTGCGCTGCTGGGGGGCATTTCCTGCAGAGCCTGCACCATGTGACCCAGACTGGAGGGGCTGCAGCGGAGCAGCTTGGGCAGGAAGTAGTCCAGGATGTAGGTGGTCTGGTCCAGCTTGGCCCGGCACAGCACCTGAAGCAGGGGGGTCACCCAGGTGTGGTGCCAGCACTGCATCCAGTCCTCCTCTGCAGCATCAGAGGCGAGCTGGGCCTTGTGGCTGACAAACAGGCGCTCCAGCAAGTCGCTTGCGTACGGAGCCAGAGTCTGATCCCCCATCAGGCCCAGCAGACAGGAGGGCAACTGGGGGTTGGTCTCCAGCAGGTACCTCGCCCCGTACAGTTCCACCAGGCAGCCCAACGAGCCGTACTTCCCCCTCATGTGCCACTCCAGCCCCAGCAGGCTGTGTGTGAGCTGGCTGACATAAGGGTCCTTGCCAGGGTCAGACATGGAGGGGGTGGCGTGCTGGTGCAGTATGAGAAGGTTTTTGAACAGAGAGCGGGTCTGGTGGCGGACTCCGTCCAGCGGGTGCTCCCAGTGGGCGTAGATGTGCTCCAGCAGGTGTCGCTGCAGCTCCGAGCCACCGCTGAGGGATTGCTGGAGGAAGGGGGGGCAGGGCTGTAGCTCCCTCTGCAGGCAGTCAAGGGCCGCACTGCTCCACAGGGTCAGGACCCGAGCCACCACCATGGCTGTACTGGACTCTTTTATACTGTTCAAAAAATAAGTTTACCTTTAGATAAATGTTTGCATCAGTTTAAGCTGTACTGCAGGAGTATTCCTGTTTAAAGAAAGTTTTAATAATCTGCCTTCCTCTAAGATAAGCAGTGCTGAGTCGCACCAGATTGGCGTTCAGATATAGCCTAGCTAGACAGACATTTAAAGTGCTGCACCAGGTGACTTAGGTCCAATGTAAACAGAAGTTACAACTTAAATCTTACCCAGTCCTTTGTAAAATACATTGCCATGGTGATTGTTTTAATTTAAGGGTTAAATTGGAGGATTAGGAAAAGTAAGATGAACCTCCATCTCTGTGGTTAACAAACTAAGTTAAGTGCGGACTTATACAGAACAGCTGTTGGGTCAGGCTGCTGATGACTATCCTGAAGGACTGAATGTGGAAGAGTTTATCAGACCCACCTGACATCCAGAGCCAGCAGTGTGTTGGGGACCAGCAGCAGTAGCTGCTCCCACTGTGGCCCCGGCAGAGAGCCCCTCCAGCTCAGCATGGCCAGAGCGCCGTGACACAGGTACAAAGAAACGCCTGGAGGGCGACCACGGGCACACAGACCCTCACACCTGAGCTTCAACCACTGAGGGGCGGAGTCTAAACCCTGAGCTGAGTTACGAAGTAAACTGCTCACCTGACACACAGAGACAAAGACAAGAGTGAAGCAGAACATTTTACAGAATGACTCCAGCCCTCTGCTTGATACACTTTGTATTATTTTTAAATTGTTTTTGTTCTCCACTCACCACAGAAGCGACGTCATCTCCACAGCCCATCACAGACCGGAACAGTAACACCACAGCCATGCCGGCCGTGCTCTGCACTGACTGGATGAACTCCTCTACACACAGGTGAGCAGAAACAGGTGTTTGTGGTTAATCATGAATGTCCCTCATTCCTTTTGTGTCGGTGTATGTTCCAGGTGTGAGTGTTGTTTCTTACCGTCAGTCAGGATGTGTGTGTAGCAGCCCAGCAGGCCGCTCAGCGTGTCCTCCAGCATGCAGTGACTCTGTTCAGCCTCCAGGGCGCCACTGATGCTCTCCTGAGATCTCTGGATGACCAGCATGGATGTTTTTACTGCAGCCAGACACGAGTGCATGAGCTGAGCCTGGGCTATGTGACGTCCTGCTAGACCGCTGGGAGGACAGCAGGGGGCGACAAAGACACATTATACACACTGTCAACAACTTTCAGCAGACTGTCTGATGAAAACAAAGCCGAGACCGTTTTTAAGGCATTTTATAACAGGCACAGTGATGCATGTTTTGCTTGGGAATACAAAACTACTCCAAAAACATGACAATCACAATAAGTAAAAATACAGACAACTCTGGCAGACTCTTTTTGATTGGAGAGCTCTAAATGCTGTCATGTATAAGTCTGCAAACAGATGTTAAATAATATATACACAACAGCATGCAGTGAATAATAAACCTCTGCACCTGTTCTGATGAAGGTATTCATTCAATCCTTTGTGAAGAAACTGCAGCACTAAACAGAGGAGAAGACAGTCAACAGGAAGTTTCTTATAAAACATTTCAAAATAATAATCGAAGTTTGACACTCACCTTCAGGAAGCAGTTTGTTGATGCATCTCTCACCTGCAGCGTTTTGGAAGAAATTAAATTTTTCTTGATAACAGAATTGTTGCAACTTTTGTTCAGTTTAATTCTGCAGAGAGACGATCGCTGACTCACCGATAACGAAGCCGTCCAGACAGGAGGTGATGGTGTCCACGATGTGAGGATGTCGGTCTGACGTTATGTTGGAAAGACAGTCGGACAAACAGACACACAAACTGTTTACAGCACGCTCCTGAAGCCAGGCTGGAACTGATCCTAACGCGCTGAGGAAACAAACACAGACACTTTTTACTTCTCAGTGGCTGCATTCAAAAAGACCAAACAGGTAAAAAGATGCTCCTCACTATGAAGTTAACTGTGTGTGAAGTGTTAGCGTGGTCTTTATGGTTCAAGAGTTTCTTTAGAGTGTTTTTTTGGAAAGGTAATGTCTGCCTTTATTAGACAGGACAGCTGATGAGAGACAAGAAATGAGGAGAAGAGGGGGACGGCATGCAGCAAAGGGCCAAGGTAAGAGGACTACAGCCTCTGCACATGGGGCGTGCAACATAACTGCTTGGCCATCCAGCGCCCCATAAAGTAGACTTTTAGCCCTTTAGAAGAATCAGGGTTATATTTAGGACAGCAGCTGCCAACAGTGAAGAAAAAAATCAATTCAAAAGTAGCTTGATTGTGTTTTTTCAAAAAAGTTTTAAAAAATCTTGACTTTCATACTTATTAGTTCATCCTTGTATGTATTTTTAAAATGTTAATTTTTAAATATTTGATTAATTTCTATATTTGTTTCTTTATAACACAAATAAGAGGTCATCATTCAGTGTTTAAGGGTAAACACACATTGCAGTGACTAAGCCCCAAACACACAACCTTAAATTGCTCCCTGTTGACCTGAAGGTCGAGGGTTCGATCCCCAGTTCCTGCAGCAATATGTTGATGTGTCCTTGGTCAAGATAATTAACCCCATGATGTCGCTGCTATGCCAGCGGCGTGTAAATGTGTGTGAATGGATAGGTAAGAAGTGATGGACTCTGCAGCCATCAGTGTGTGAATGTGTAGGTGTGACCTGAGGTGTGACAGAGCTTTGAGTAGTCAGAAGACTAGAAAAGAAATATACAAGCTCCATTTACTATTTACACCGTTAGTAAGGCACGGAGCACTGAATATTATAAATGTGCTCTTCATCAGACCAACATGAGACAAGAAATACATTTGAAAGCATACGTTTGAGTTGAGTGCTTTGAAAAAACATACACTCTTAATTGATGTATTTTAAAGGCACTTAAAATGAGCTCAGGCTACAAATGCTGGAGTGAAAGGTTTCAGTGTAAATGTTTGAATTTGTACCGTAAAGAAAAATTTTCAGACAGAGTGACGTACCTGGCTATGGCTCGTCGTAGGGGGTTCTTGGCCTGCAGGGACGTGTAGACCAGACAAAGGGTGTGCAGACAGGCCTCCAGCAGAGCTCCATCAGGCTCTTCTTCACTCAGATCCTCCAGCTGGCTCCCTGCCTGGTACAGGGTGGAGTATAATATTATTAATAACCAATTATTGTAATTACTTTTATCTAATCCTTCAGTTCCCCCCAAACTAACCTTTTTAACCAGCTGGATCTGCTGCACGGGGTCTGTCAGCTCCAAACAGGACTGCAGGGTCCGCGCAACCTGCCGGACTCCATCCTCTCCTCCGTCCACAGAGAGGGACGCTGGAAGACATCACAAACAGGTAAACACCTAGTATGTAGCATAAATCCACCTGAACTGAAACACATCCACACCTGCATTTTCCCTGCAGAAATGTTTCCAAAGCAAAGACGAACTATTGAAAAAAAAAACTGTGTGTTGCCACTGCAGGTCTCGGGGTCTAATGTTGCATTTATGTGCTGCTCCGATGTTCAAAGTTTACCAGTTGGGAAGTCATTCTTCCGACTTCAGTGTGTTCATATAATTTCAGTTCGTTTGAATGTTGTAACAACAGCAACAAGCAGCGTGGATGCTACGAAGATGATGTGTGAATGTCTCTGTTACAAGATATAAGATATATTTCAGCAAAAAGTTAATGTGCAATACGTGAATTAATAAAAAAGTATGTTAATATTAACAAAACATATTTTGCCCCTCGTGATAATGATTATGGCATCAAGTCAGCAAGTCGGCAACAAGTTCTCGGAGGAGCACCTGAACGCAGCATCAGACTTCCTTCAGAATCAGAAGTAGTTCCTGGTACTTCAAAGTCAAAATGCTCCTGGTGGAAATACGACTTTCCATCTTTTGTGGAGCACTTTATTGTTCTTGTGTTATTACTCTCATCTGTAGCGTGAACACATAATTACCTAACAGCAGGTGTAGCTTCTGTTCATCCAAAACCACAGCCTCCACTTTGGGTGTTTTCTTCTTCACCACCATGACTCTCTCTGCCCTGAGACAGACAAACAACAGGTAGATTATTCAACACAAAATACTGTTTACAACTTATTTTAAACTGTGAGAAAACTAACTGGAGGACTTCAGGCTCTCACACCTTTCAGAAACAGGCTCTAAATATATTTTAATGAAAGAATATCCAGGTGTTTTCAGGAGAGAATGAGTTATTCTTCATGTAAATCAAACTGACACACACACACACACAAGTACTTTATGTTACTGTTTGAGCTATGCTAACTAAAGCTAGCTCCCTGACACTGACTCTACGTTCACAGTTAAAATGCGACACAGTCAAAGAAACTTACGAAGCGAATAACAACAGAGAACAGTTCACAAAGAGCCGAGCAGTTAAATAAAAGCGTAAGGTTTAATAAAAGTAACATTCCCCTCAGTTCAGCATGTGTTTACCTGATTCAGATGGAGGCTAACTGAACGGAGAGTCAACAGAAAACAAGCTAGCACTTCCGGTTTTTACTCTTCAGAATAAAATAAACTCTGAATTCTTATTAAAGACTAATTAAAAAATATAAATACACCTAAACTATAATTCATTATAACTAAATAAAAACGTTCACACTGTCAAGTCTTTATTAAGCCCATACTAAACATCATTTGTCCAACATCACGTCGCTACGATCTATTGTGCCAATTATATTTTGTTGTTGACGACTTTGACGTGTTTTTGCTGATTTATTTTTTTTATTTTATGGCTTTTAAATTCATTTTAAAGTCATGTATTTTGTATTATGTTTGTATTTTTCATTGACAACATCATCATTATCAAAGACATCCTCATTATCGTCATCGACAGAGTCGCTGCTTGTCAACAGGGAAGGTAGGCAACTGCTTGAGGCCCCAGGCCAGTAGGGGACTGGTACACTTCAAACCACAGCAGTGGCTCAAAATGTGACAATGACAGAAGGAAACCTCCCTAAAGGGGCCCTAATCTTAGAGTGCGATCACACTGGAAATCTGAGCCTGGCCTAAGCACGAGTATCTCTTGTTGTAATACAACACATGCATAGCTTTATGTTATCATGAAGCTCAGTTTACAAACAGGGGTACTTGAGAAAAAAAATATATAAAAAGGGACGCGCAGTCGAGTCTGCGTCTGCACATCGGAGAACAACACAGAGAACATGACAGCTACTTTACTGACTTTACTCATTTTGAGTCATTTTAATCCAATCCAGCCATAAATACATTATACATATGTCCTCTTTAAATAAAGGTTTAATGTATGAATTTCACACAAAAAAAATCTACTTATGACTTTAATTTGAAGCCACACTACTTCCGTTTCCTGTGTTATTCTCGCAAACTTGACTCACCAAAGGTCCATGCTGCACATGTTGTACGTCATTTCCTACAAATCGTCTCCGCTCGCCCTCAGTCCATAAAACAGCGCTCCTTCTTCTGATTGGCTCTCCTTATCCGTCAATCAAACACAGAGCACTGACTTCCTGACCTGTGATTGGACGTGTTGTGAGTAGGCCACGCCCTTTAAAACCAGCCAGTCTCCAACTTTTGCCCGAAAGCTGAAATGAAATTCTTGGAGAGAGACATCAAATTCACAGTTTTCTCTTTTTACTTTGGATATTTTTAAATACTTTAATGGACGCGGGAGGCAACATGGCGTGAAGGGGCTTCCGTAGTTTCTCTCCATTAAATATTGTTAAAGGTAAGTCGAGAAACTTTGATAAAAAAAACGCGTTTTTAATTAAAAAAAAGGAAACAGCGGAGAGTCTAATTAACGCGGCTGTGTTTAAGTGGTTAGTTTATAATAAAGCGATGTTTCATGTGTTTTTGGTTATATTCGTAAGATAAACTGTTGTAATGCCCTTGTTTCCCATTAAAATCCCCTTTATTCAGGGATGCTATTTGTGTCTTTTGCTCGCTGTGTTATAATAAGATTTTCCTAAGAGCTTCATCCTTGATATGAGACTTTTAAATGGTAAATTATAAAATGCCAAAACACACATATAACACGAGCAATGATGTGTTTAATTGTCTTTAAACTCTGACATGTAGAGACCAAAAATTGATGCTAGTTATACTTTATCTCAAACTTTATACTTTCACACATAACAAAAATACACCACAGGTTTGGCGATACAATAAAGTAGGTCAAAGCACACCTGAAGACTTCACTGACACTTACTCCGTGTATGAATAGTCTTTTGTGACTGAAAATATATATATATATATATATTTCTTTTAAACAGGGCAGCTCTGGATTCACGATACTCAGTGGCGATTCTAGATTCTGTTGGGGCCCTATAGTAAAAAATATATTTTTTGGGGGGGGCAACCAGCTTTTTTTCCTGTTTCCTTTTTCTCTCTTATGGATGATTCTCCTTAATTTTTCTGTGTTGACATTCATTGATGAGGCCCACTTGGGTTGCAAAATTTGCCTATTTTGGGCCACTGCTCTGGTTTAAAGTTTTTGAGCCCTCAGGGCCCCCCCCCCCCCTACTGGTCTGGGGCCCCAAGCAGTTGCCTGCCTTGCCTGTTGACAAGCAGTGCCTCTGACGATACTGTGGGAAAAGAAACTACATCTGCGATATCTTCTCTTTCTGTGATTTAACATTTATACAGCAAAAACGAACCAAAATGTAAAAAGAAGCGAACACAACGTGTTTCAATTGTTCAATATTTCAATGCCAAAATGAAGTGCAGTAAATAAACAAATCTAAAAGTCTGCATATTAACTCTTACTAACAGTTTCTTGTGCCTATCTGCTGCAATGTTTTCACAACATGTGTTTGTGAGATGTAATTCAGAGCCAAATTAATCCAAAAATGTGTTTTCTTTTCAGCACAAAATTAGCTTGACCTTCATCTGACAGCATCAGAATATTGTGGTGATCATACACGTCTCCTTCCAAAAGGTGAAATGTTCACATGCTGAACGAGAAATATAGTAATTCCTCTTTTTACATTGCGATTATTGAATTGAACTTTGTTTAGGACGCTTGAATTTGAAATATTGTGTTAGAAATGTGTATAGTGACTGCCCTCTACAGGTTGAAATTGGCTACTGCAACTGCATTTTTCTATCGGCTGATCCGGTGTGTTCTGACGTATGTGGTGCAGTCTTCCATCACCCGACTCGGCAAACTGTGGGAGTCGAGCGGATTGAGAGAATTGCTCAATTGTTAGCTTTAGTGATAGTTGGATTGTTACCATAGATTCCTTTAGAGTCGATTTTAGAGTTGTGAGTTTATAGTATTTAGGAAGTTATTTGGAGGTTGCAGCGGTAGTCAGATCTTTTCAGTCTAGTGGCTAAGCTCTAATTGTAGGTGATTTTTAAGAAACTTAGTTAGTTGTTTGATTTAGCATTTTGTTTTTTAGAGTATTTATTAGATAGTGACCAGAATGGGTCGGCAGTGCTTCTGCCCAGGCGGCTGTGGCTCAGTTGGTAGAGTTGTCGCCTCTCAACCGGAAGGTCAAGGGTTCAATCCCCAGCTGAGGAACATGTCAGATGTGTGCTTGGGCAAGACACTTAACCCTGAATTGCTCCTGCTGCTTCAGTATGAATGGGATTAGTTACTTCTGATGGATGATACTACGTAGCGATCATCATACTACATACTACATACATCATCAGTGTGTGAATGGGTGAATGTGACATGTGGTGTAAAAGCGCTTTGAGTAGTTGGAAGACTAGAAAAGCGCTATATAAGCCCAAATCCATTTACCATTTACCATGCCCTGTAGCCCTGGGTTGCAGGACCTGTGTTATTAGTTTACTAGCTCAGCTCAAAGTAGGAGGGGATGATCTCCTCATGTTGAATCGTTTTACTGTAAATACTGTTTCTGTGATTTATGGGGATCTCTGAGCTTTAAATGGAAATGATTGGTTCAGTAACACAGAGAAACAGTCAGACAGCAGACTCACTCTCTCTCTCTCTCTCTCTCTCTCTCTCTCTCTCTCTCTCCCCCTCCCTCTCTCTCTTTTTACTCTGATTCATTCAACAGGAAGTGAGAGAGACAAAGACAAAGTCCGAGTCAGGGATCAGAGAGTTAAACGGCCTTTTAATGTTTTCCAAAAACCACATCCTCTCATCATCACCGAGGAATGACGCTGACAGAGGACAGAAGACTTTGTGTCCTACATTAAAGGAAAATAATAACTCATGTTGGAAACAAGGTGGTCAAGATTTTAGATAAAATAACCTTTATTTTTTATGACCAATAGTATCAAAGAGTACCAAAGCTTTAAAATGAATATATATTGATGTTTTTAACTTCAAAAGAGAAACGTTCAGCAGTATCTGTTCAATTTGGACAGTGTGTGAATTTGTGATTAAAAAGAAGACAAGATGTGAAACACTTTTACACTTTTTCCAGTCCCCAAACAAATTTCAAAACAACATGCTTGATGAAAAGGGAATGTACCAAATGCCAGAAATGACACATGACAAAACCTGTGGACAAAAGATCACAACACGTCGTGCGGCACAGTAATCGTTTAATCTCGATGATCTTCTTTTCACGATCGTGGGAAGACAACATCGGGAATGAAACTGAAGCTCGATTAATTGCACTGGTTTCATGTCTAGTCGTCTCCCTCTGACCCTGACCTCTGACCTCCTGTGGAGAAAGAAATTAAAAAATATCTTCTCACAGGAAAGAGGCAGCAGTGTGATGGTATTATCATGTACACACACTCTGTTTCTCACTGATCTGTGTGTGTGTTGTTTGTGTGTGTTTTCAGAGGGCAGCATGGCGGAGGGGGAGGAGGCCATGAGTCAGGAGGACTGGAAGGAGAAGTGTTTGGTCCTGGAGGCGCTGCTCATGAAGTTCAGAGTGCAGATCATCAAGATCCGAGAGCTCACCGCTGACAAGGTCTGTGAGAGGAAACTGTTTAAAAAATCTGTAATGTTGTCAGACACCAGATGCGTGTCCGCTCCGTGTCCGCTCCGTTCCGGCAGCGGAGGTGATAGGTTTGCACTTTTTTCAATGTGTGTGCTTCCACTTGCTCTGCTGCACTGCGTCTGAGCTCTGGCAGTCCGGTGCCCTCCGCAGCAGATATGCAGAGCTGCTATTTTAGCCGGATGCCAGAGCCCGCCGCATCAATTTAGCACAGAAAATAACAAACGGGACGGAAAGTCACACACCTAAACAACATTAAAACATCAGGGTTATGTTTACGACTCAGATCCAGGCCTTAGAAACATCTCTAAGTTGTACAATGGTCTAAATGAGCTAGATGGGGGCGACACGACTTATGTAAAGGAAAAATGGGAAAAGGAAGGAAATCTTACTTTACATTCTGAAGTATGGGAGAAACTCCACAAACAACAATGGAAAAGTACATCTGCCCTGTCCTGGAGAGAGTTCAGATTGAAAAATTTGATACGTTTTTTAAAACGCCTGCACAAAATAATTTTGTTAATAAAAACACATCCTGTTGGAGGTCTTGTGGGGGAAAAAACGCAAACCATTACCATGTATTCTGGCAATGCCCTTTGCTCCAGAATTACTGGATCAAGTTAAAAACGTTATGGAAAAGGTGCTCAAAGTGCTGATCCCGTTCAATTTTGCAACGCTCTATCTAGGTCTGCAGCCAGACAGCATTGAGGGCTTTTCCAAAAAATACTTGTTTAATATTCTACTAATATCAACAAGAAAGCTCTCACCAGAAAATGGATGTCAACAGACCCCCCCATGGTTGAGAACTGGATCGATGTAATCCATAATATTTTCGTGATGGAGAAACTCACATTTATTTTACAACTTGAACAACAGAAGTTTAAAAGTTCTTGGACACCTTGGACCACTTATACATCCTCATTAAATCCTACTACAAGCAATCTCAAAATATGGACCTCATACACCTCTTCCCCCTAAGTGTTTACTAGTTTTTATTTTGTTTTTTATTTTTTGAGCTACTAAATTGTACATAGTTTATTGTTGTTAATACAAGTTTGGGCAATACAAATCCAGGAACACATGCAAGCAGCTAGGCCTAGACCCCCCACCCCCCCATGTTTCCTTTTCTGTTATATATCTCACTATGGGTGATAATAAAAGGGTCCCAAGTTGTTAATTTGAATTTGTTCTGTGGTACAAGTGACATTGAATTTTCTTTTACAAAATGTTTATTTCTCTCACTACTATTACCACCTCATTTTATAAGAATGTTTAGACAACTGTGTCTTATACCTGTTTTATTGCTCTGAATAAAAATTTAAATGAAAAAAAAAAAAAATCAGGTTTATTTTAAGAATAAAACACTCTCTTTTAACGGTTCAGAAAAATGAGAGTGCACAGAACCCAAACGGACCAGAGCAGACAAGCAATGCACATGTATCTGGTGGAAGTTTGAGGTTAGAATAACAAACTGAGCCTGTCAGAGACAAAAACTACAACCTTCAGTCGACACATTAAGATCGATCAAAGATTATGTTTCAGCCACTCCAGCCTGTTTCTCTGCTGCAGGCTGATGAAATCTACATTTAAAATCCTGTTAGTCCTTTGTGGTGCTTTCAAACTTGCACAAAACTCTGGAAAACTTCTAAACATTTTGGTGGGGAGCTTTTCCTGCATGCCCTCTGGTTGGTTTCTGCTCAAAGTCGGGGTGAGCTGATGTGTGTACTCTGCAGGAAACATTCAGGAAAATTCATTTCGAGCGAGCAGGAGGGGTCGGTGACGTAAATGTCCTGCGACCCATAGGCTGTATCCATGCGACTGGTACAATCTCGGTGCACGGAATGAAACTGCTTCATCATGTTTTCTGTATGTTCTTCTCCGCTCTTTGGTTGACGTTATATTTATGTAAAAACAAAAAATTAAGACTCTGTTGCTTTATCCACCACTTCTATGTCATTTTTTAGGCCATGTCTTGCCACCTGAGACCCCCCCACCCTTATAGGAATGGTCTCCAGCTGTCAGGTGCCGGTGTGAATAACCAACTCAGCCTGCCTGAAATTTTCTATAACTTTCTAGAGTGCATGTATGAAAAATGCTTTAGCCTGTTTTAAAATATGGCCCAGGTTTAAAATACTAAAATACCAAAGTTGATGTATGGGACCCAGAGTTTGCAGCCCGGTCTTCCACATGTGCTTCAGAGCCTTAATGAAAACCCACCAAAGCCTGTTCCTCTTCCAAGTCTTTCGAGGAGTTTGTTTGGCCGTCCAGCTGAGCTGACTCTGACTCTGTAATTGACTGGAGCTGGGTCAATCCCATGATGCAGTGCGTGGCGGAGCCCTGTGGTCAGACTGCTGTTTACATTAGAGCTCTAATCAGCCTCCCTGGAGAGCAGCTTCAGATCTAGGCCACTGAACAGTTTGGGCCGGCCCAGCTCAGCCAGCTGGGAGGGACGGGCCGCTCCGCACCCAGCAGACACACCACAGAGCTCTGCTTGAGGGAGGGCTGAACTCCTATACTTATGAGGACCACATGTTGGTGTTTTTGTGTTTCTTTAGTTTAGAGCTCAAATCTTTAAAGTCTGTAGGCTGAGTCTGAGGGTCTGTACGTCACTGCTCCTTTTCCTGACCAAGGGACAACCTCTGGTGTTGAAAAATGAAGCCGGTGAAGAAGCATAACAACCTGCAGTTCCTCTGGTGTCCACTTGAGGCGGGCTGCAGAAGCCCCGGAAGTCACATTCACACCCAGATTAAACCGGCCATCTTCACAGCAGACATAAACATGTTTACAGCCTGGTTCCCTGAATAGCCCATTTCTTTATCAACATCCGTTGATAAAGAAACACCTCATCCGTTTTTATTTCACATAAGAGTTATTCATAATAAGGAGCGTGGTTAATGGGACTGACAGACAGGTAGATGTTTGTCAGGAGGCTTAAAGCCCGCCTCAGCTCCAGCTATCAGCCTCTTACTAGATTTAGCACGAGTTAGGAGTAGAGGGCGCTTCATATACGGCGACCGCCATCGTTTTTACTTCAAAAGTACTTTGAAAACCAGTGAGTCTTCTTTATAAATCCATGAGGGAAATTCTGATTTACCCTCTGTTATTGAGAGACATGCTTCTCACACACATAGGCCCGAACACACACACACACACACACACACACACACACACACACACACACACACACACACACACACACACACACACACTCAAACAGGACCTGTGGACATGTATTAGTGGAGAGATTTCAGAGTGGGCTGCTACACAGGGAGCGCACCAGGACAGCTGGGGGTTCATTGCTGGCAGTACTCTGGCACCCTCCAGTTCCCAACCCAGTCCCTACAGACTGAGCTACTGCCGCCCCAATCAAAGATCTCTGAGACTACGTCTATGTTATATCCAGTCTATGATCCAGACCTCTGTTGTTTTTCTATTCCACCTTAAATTTCAAGTTGGTTTTTGAACTGGCTTCATCCACTCGCAGTATTTAATTGTTTGCTCATGTGATATGATGTCACTGTCGGTGTGTTTGTGGTAAATCTGATGATCTTTCACCCATTTCGTCTCGACTACGGTCAACTCAAGAGTTTCTTTTGAATTGGAGGCGGGGAGTAGCAGAAAGAACCACTTTCATGATTCCTCACCTTCTTTGACTTCATCTTTTGTTATTGTTTTGATTGAGAGCCCCCTGGTGGAGGAATTTATGTACTGTGCCTTAAAGTTAGCTCGCCTAAAGTTAAGAGAGGAATAATTAAACCATACTTCAACGATAGTATCGACCAATATTTACTGACTGGGAGAGACTGACAGATTGTAAATCTTCTTCTTAGTTGATATTAGAAATGTCTCCTGGTCTGAACTCTTTTTAAAGGATATTAAACTGGAAACAGCTGCTTATAACATGTGAGGGAGGGGCTTTAATAAAACAATGTTCATGTGCTGATTTATGAAGTTTCTTTACCCTACTTTTTGTGCTATGAATCCAAATGTAAAAAAGAAATCCAGCATTTAGTTTTATTATTGGAAACAATTTTCATTTAATTAGAAAATATCTCAATCTTCTTAATTGAGTCAAATGTTGATGTTTGATTTGGCAAAAGCTGCAGTCATTGAAAGACGGAGAGGGAATGAAGGGAGGAGAGACAGAATGAAAAAGTGAAGCCTTGTGTGAAGACCGACGTAAACTCAATGTACTCAGTGTGTGTGTGTTTATGCATTGATGGGTGTGTGTGTGATTATGCGTGTGTGTGTGTGTGTGTGTGCAGAGGAAGTGTGTTATTTATTTTCAAACACACTCACTGATATTTTGCATTCTATGTGACTGTGAGCCTTTAAATAGTAAATCCTCAGTTTTATGGCGTGAGAAGCAAAAGACGACTCTTTAGCTGCAGCAGCTGGACTCTGGAGTTTTTAACTAAAATTCAAGATTCAAGATTAAAAAGCTTTATTGTCCATCACATAGTGACAGAAAAGGACCTTTTGATTAGAGGCTTGAATAACATAAAAACATTCACACCCATTAGACCCCATAAATGTGTAAAAGCTTGTCCTAAAGTGTTTATGGAGTCTTGTTTAAAATGCAGAGGGAATAAAAGAGTTTCTGTATGTTTTCTTTTTAAGCCGAGGGTCCTCTGAAGCAGCTGCCTGAGGGGAGCAGCTGAGCCGAGTGGTGAAGGGTCCTCAGTGACGCAGAAATGTGTGAGGGACTATTTTCAGCTGTGGATTAATACACATGAGGTGCTTGTTAGGATTTACAGCTGCAGCAGGGTGTTTATACAATTCACCCAAAACAAAAGATACGCCTCATCAGGGCTCCAACTAACAATACTTTTCATTGTTTATTAATCTGACGATCATTTCATGATTCATTACATGACTGATGATCGGCCTGTGATTGTCAGAAAATGGGGAAAAATGTCGACCATTGTCCACAAACACAGACTGTACATTAGAAGTTAGAGATGAGATGATGG